CTGATCAAAGTGATCACAAGAGCCTGCAAATTGGTATCGGAGTCAGGGAACTTTTTGACGGACTGGATAAGAGGCTTTATTACCTTCGACTTGCTAATCAACATTCCGTTTTCGTCCGAATCGCAGTATAAAATTAATATCTTAGCAACAGCGAGGGCAGTCTCAATGTTTTCAATGCTGTCGATGTTCAGAACGGCTTCGAAAACCTTCTCCACAACCTGAGGTTCGACTGCATAGACAGAGGAGAAGTTGAAAGAAGAACTCGTAGCAAATTCATGCTCCAGAGGCTCGACATCTGGTGCCATTGGTATTCGGCAGGAGCAAAAGATCTTCTCAAAAACGAGCAGGGCGCTTGGGAACCAAATGGCGTTGGCTGCCTCCGGTCGTATATGGTTAGCAATAGTGGACAAGATCTCTTCCATAACTCCTGAGTAGGAGGAAATCCATTGTTCATCCAGAAGCAGTGCCAGAAGATTGAGCATGCTTGCAAGTCTTTCATACGAAGAATCATCACCTTCAGTAAAACCAAATGAGCACACACTCATAAACACTGGATACAAGATCTCCGAATACGACATGGTCTCCCCATAGGATGACTTCGAAACGACAGTGCTGAGTAAGTCTCCAACTCTGTAAACCGCCTTTGGGAAGAGCTGCGCAATTTGGAGCCAATAATCGATGAAGTTAGGCTCATTAGCACCTCTGGAGAAATTCAGATCATCTAGCGTGCACACGTGAAGATATTGAGGACCAACTGGTGATGGCTCAGGAGCCGAATACTTATGGCGATTGGCGCGATCAACCACCTCTGCCCAGTCCACTGGCTCGCTACCTGGACTTTTGACAGGCGAGTCTGGAGATTCAAATTGTGCGAAAAGATCCTCTGGATCTTCTGTATACAAAACTTCAATATTATTGCGATAGAACAAAAGGAAATCCAAAGCTCGGGACTCGGGCACTCCAAGGCTTTTCAGGTACTCGATTTTGCTGGTAGATGGAGCAACACTTTCGTAGGACAGTTGGTACAACCTTCCTTCAAATGCTGGTGACTGAGAAGTGGAAACCGAGCAGTAGAAGTTCTTGTTGATTGCGATCAGTTTTTCAACCAGACTCAGAGGAATGTTTTCAGGCTTTTTATCAAGAATTCCGCAGTTCTCTTCGTTCAAAAGTTCATTCAGCAACCCAAAACTTGCGAGAGATGTCTGGATTAGAACTGAATTGTTCAACTCCCGGTAATATGGATAGCTATTTCTAAAAAGATCAGGATAGAGTTTCTCTTGGGAGGGAATAGGGGCAATCATCGTTTTTGTGGCGATCGACGTGAAGATGCTTAAGATCTGGTTCAAAAGTTTGATGGTGGTAGAACATGGGTGTATGTCAATGTACTCCAACTTGTCGAACTTTTCAACTTCATCCTTCTCGAATGTCTGAAGATATTCAAAATATCTGACCGCCAGTTCGCGAAGAGTGATTATACCTTCATTCTGAAGTAGGCAAATAACCATCATCGTGTTCACCTGCTCCGTGCTCCGGCTGCGCATATACAAACTGGAATAGATCAAATTCACCATCACTAGATAGTATCCGGTCCTGATCTCCATATTGTCTGTTGCTATATTGCGGATCTGGTTGACTATCATGTTCGAGAATTCAACCACCATACGAGTGGCATTTTTTGGAACCATTCCGAAGCGACTATCTTGCCTCTTATCGGTGCTGATCCGGCATAATGAATTGAAGATGTAGCGCAGCCAGGACTGACAACGAGAGAAGTGGAAGCATAGAATGGATAGGTTCTTGAATTTGGCACTGGTACCATCCCAGTCTCCGTTTTTCTCATTAGGTTTTCCAATTTTGATCTGAAGCGGAGAGAAGTCGTTACTGACGGCAGAAACCTCTTTGCATGCCTCGGCTGGAGTTCTCGAGTGAATTAAAACCTCTTCCAGTGTAATCCTTCTGTAGAAATTTGATAGCTCTCGCATCAATATCACACCTTTTTCAGACCCGAAATATGCAGATAACTGCTGCATGCTGTTCGCCGTCAGTTTGTTTGCCGATCCATAATGGTCACTAAAGACATACAAAAGACAATCCAATATACCAAGCCTCGAGAAAAACTCACCACCTTTGATCGCAGCAGTTTCATTATTCTGATCAAATTGGTCAAAAAATGAATTTTCGTCGCTATTGTATGTGGTGAATTCCTGCAGCTCGTGCAAAGCAGAATAAATTGCACTCATTAGCTCTTCGAGTGCAAACGAAGGTCGCTCATGATCGACAAACTTGATAATTGATGTCAATGAAAACAGAGCGTTTGAGAATACATAATCGAATGTAACGTTCGGGATGCACACGTATCTCAAACAATCTTTCATAGTAATGAGAGTGGCCACTTGTTTCCAATGGGAACTGTTCTCTAACAACGATCCAAGGAAGATTAGTGAGCATTCCAGCAGGTCTCCCTGATTGCTGGATTCCCATATCTCGAGTTCGGTACCATTTTCTTCAAACTTACTGAGCTCCTCATCCTTTGAATAATACAGAGATCCCTTTGGTGATTGGTAAAACTTCAACGGCTCAAAGCTGACCAAATCCGGAATGTGCTTGAATATGTGTAATACGTTCTCCTTTATGATAGGCTCGAGTTCAGGATGGTGTCTGGCAAGCTCATCAAACATGAACCCTAATGGAGAGGCATTTTCCTCACGGAGAAGCTCTTTGCAGAGACTTGCGTCCGTGAATATATTGAAGTATTTTCCCACAAGGTCCTCAGATTTCACTCTCTGTAAGCCCTCTTTATTCAAGGAGATCGCTCCAATAGCGTCGGGGATAGCCAGCAATAATTCGGCCGATTTGCCTAACAGACCATTGAAATTTATCATGAAAGCGTCTATGACGCCAGACTCGTTTAGAATAGCGTATGCAGTAGGTTCATTATTAATAATGCCCGTCATAATGTTGATCGTATCGGTGAGAAGTTCGTAGCCAAAAACTGTTGGGTTTTCAACAATTTTGATCAGGCTTTTTAGGATCGGAGAGTCGTACAAATTCCTCATACGATCGCCTTGATGATTGACGATCAAATGAAAGAATAACTTGAGTAGCGAATTGATGGTCTTGACTTGGCGAACGCTGATACTGTGAGAAACGATAGCATCCTTTGGAGCGCCACCATCATAATCTGGATTTTCCAATGCGAAATCCACTTCGTATGCCAACAGGTCAATCATGATTTGGAAACCATTGCTGGCAATGAAGCTATCGAGAATATCCGGGAGAGATTTCAGGAATAGATCAATCAGCTGCAATGGTCCAGACCTTGTCATCCTAAACGAGTTTTTCAATGGCAAAAACTCAAGGAGAATGTTCATCAGGCCGGCTGTTCTAAGATGAGCGACTAAATGCTTGTTATCGATCAAATTCGCAATCAAATTAAAGAAGTAGTTCAGATAAGAGTGGTCCATGTCTGTCCGATCCTCTTTTGCTGCCTTGAGAACAGAACGCAAAATATGGAATAAAAGACCATGGTTAACGTTTCCTCCAAGGGCCCTCATCAAATCGCTTCCACCGCTCTTCTTGGCAGAGATACTCACAAAAGCCCTCAGAGCTGCGTATGAAGGTTCGAATGGGACAACATTATCAGGATTGATGAGGTCGGCCATGTAGCTCAGTAAGTACGGTTCTTCATCAAACACAGAGCTGGCCATCACTGAGTAGAAGCAACAACAGGACGCAGCTGCCACAGCTAGGCATTTCAAAGTCACCAAGTTCTGTCTGAGCTGGACACTTTCATATGACTTGTTATTAAATGCTTTTGCGATATACACGGCAAGCACAAAGTCGAACTGATTTTCCTTTGGTATTATGTTGGCAGCCTTATCATATATCTGCTGGAAAGATAATTTTCGAACGTTATCCTCGTTGAGAACGAAATGGTGAAGACCTTCCTGCTCGATAGAGGCAGTCGACAACTCGCTCTTAGATTTCTTTGTCTGCGTGTTGTATATTTGCTTTGATTTCTTCTTCGATGGGTTTTCTTGACTAGGCGCTGTCTGTGATTGCGCTCCACGCTTTCTCCTTGTATCTGCAGTTGCATTATAATATTTGAAGTCCAAAATTTTCCACTTTGCTGGTAGTTGACTTTCTGTGTTGATGCAGTCCAGTAAACTGATGTGGACCAGAGCCTGAGTCAGTTCCTTGTCCTTTCTGTGTTTTTTCCGGTTTTGAGTGTCAATTGGAACTGGTGAAGTGTAAACAGGAGCAACCTGCGGAGGGAAAAAAGTGGCGAGCTTCAGCAGCGTGTTCCTGACCTGTGCCGGCGGAGAAAACTTACTGTTCTGAACGATGGCAAACCTCTCACAAAGCAGACACGTAAGCCTCAGAGCGCAAAGTCTGACAGCCATTGAGCACGAGCTGATCAGCTGGAAGACATAGGACGCCGAATTGTATATCTCCTTGTTGGAACAATGTTCCAGCAATGTGTATGTGTAATTGAGAATCGCGCACACGACTCTCTCGTCTGCCTCGTCCACCATGAGCAGTTTCGGGTATTCCTTGTCCAAGTCGTATTTCTTGACATGTGCCTCCAAGAGCTCGTCCATCCGATTCAAGATCGGAATGTAGTGAAAGAGATCGATTCTCAAGCCATTCCACAGCTCTTTTGATTTGGCCTCGGAAGTAAGCACAAACTCCTCCAGGGGACAAACAGTCATTTTCACAATGAACTCTTTTACAGGCTCTGCCAACTCCTGCTTTTCTATATACGATTTTTTGGAGACGATCATGGCCGCTGAGTATCTTGTTTTCCCATAATTTTTGCTTTTGCCAATTTCTAGGCTTCTGGTCCTGGTGCAGAGATGCACTCGATTCGCGGCTCCCTTTTATCACAGGCAAAGGAAACTGGGATTTTTTTCGTGTTTTGTGGGAAGAGCCAATGTCCAGAGAGGGTTTACTGTATGAGATTTTCTTTTAGGCAGTTACGTGAGCGACATATACATATAATGGTTTCCTTTCTGGACGACACCGCTCGGACCGCGCTTGGAGCCGAGTCCCAAACTAGATCCCCAAAAATATCGTCAGCAGACTTCAACTATTCCTTCAGCCAGGACGCAGAAGATGAAGGGGTGATTTCGATAGAGGAATTGCAGGCAAGCCAGCCAAACCAGCGGCCTGCAAGTACACCTGCTGAGCAGACGTCATCGTCGGTTGTCGATTCGTCTCCGATAGACCACAGGACCCGCGTTCTCTATCCAGAGTTCAAGCGCAGACAGCGCGACTCGCCTCACTGGACTCAGGGGACGCATGCGGGCGTGACCCTGGACCATGTGCGTGATTATCTGACGTGGTTTGGCACTCTCTCTCCGTCAAATAAGCATATTGCTGACACTGCAGTGAACAAAATACAGAAATATTTTGAGAAAAAGAACCAAGAGAAGAAGTCTGGGCAGGAAAACATACAACAGGCTCCTGACAGCCCTACGCCAAATAGTTCACATAACGGGATTGAGTCGATCATGGAGACGCCCGTCAAAAACAATACCACTAATGACACGGCCGCTAAAGCTGAGAAGGCTGTCACTCTTCCTCTGAAGGAAAACAAGGTCCTTCTGAACAAACCGTTGGATGGAAGACGTATGATGAGCACGTCATCCGCTGCCTATGCCAAGCTAGAGCTTTTGACGCAGAAAGAAAGCTTGTTCGCGGACGTCAAACGCAAGAACTTTGCCAACGAAGTCAAAGAGCCTGAAGTGAAACGCGTCCAGGCAGTTACGCTAAGCGAGGAGCAAAATCAAGTGATTGAACTTGCAAGGCAAGGTCACAACCTATTTTACACTGGTTCTGCAGGTACTGGCAAGTCTCTGTTGCTTAGGTCATTGATCAAGTCACTGAAAAAACAGCATCCACTAGGAAGCGTCGGGGTGACCGCCTCAACAGGGCTCGCGGCTTGTAATATAGGAGGTCAAACACTGCACTCTTTCACTGGAATTGGGTTAGGGGACGCGCCTGCAGATAAATTGGTAAAGAAAATTAAGCGGAACCCCAAAATGAAGGATAGATGGAGGGATCTGGAAGTCTTAATCATAGATGAGGTTTCTATGATTGATGCCGGTTTATTCGATAAGCTGGATATGATTGCTCGCGAGATGAGAAAACAGCGAGATGTTCCATTTGGCGGGCTTCAGTTGGTTATTTGTGGAGACTTCTATCAGCTCCCTCCAGTGACCAAAAACGGCGAGCCAGTTTTTGCATTCGAGTCACAGGCATGGAAACAAGCAATCAAGTACACAATTGTTCTCAAGAAAGTTTTCAGACAACAGTCTGACCGCGACTTTATCAACATGCTGAACGAAGTGCGTAACGGAAATGTTTCCGAAGCGACTGCGAGAAAGTTCAGGGCTCTTTCACGTCCTTTGGCTTCCAAAGAAGGTGTTATTCCTGCAAAGCTCTTTCCCACGCGACGGGAAGTTGACAGAGCCAATAGTACGATGTTAAAGCAACTTCCGGGCGCGGAAGTTGTTTTTAGGGCTTTTGATGGAGGGTCGCTAACCGATGAAGATCAAAGGCAGCGGTTGTTGTCGAGTTTTCTTGCTCCTGAACGAATCGCACTGAAAAAGGACGCTCAGGTCATGCTAATAAAAAACATGGACGAAACATTAGTCAATGGTTCCTTAGGCAAGATTGTGGATTTTATCGATCCCGATACCTATTCGCATTATCGATCTATCAAAAGTGATAAAATTGACGTTAAAACGCTAGAAGAAAAAGCCGCCAACTCGATGAATAAAGGCCCTCCAAAACGAGACGAGAGACATTTGATTGAAGATTCCACTGTTTTGGAGAGCCAGTTGGATGAGAATGTTTTTTCATTCTTGAAAGAGCTCAAGGAGGAACAGCCTGAAGATCTGCCTGAGTCCGCGCAGAAAAACATAGAGCGCAAAATAGAGCTGTTGAATCAGCTGTACAGCAGCTCTAAGAACAGAAGAATGCCTCTCGTTCGCTTCATTCAGGCCGACGGGACTACGCGTGAGGTGCTAATTGAGCCGGAAACTTTCAGTCTCGAGGATGAGTTTGAAAGGCCGATTGTCTCGCGTACGCAAATTCCACTAATTCTCGCCTGGTCATTGAGTATACACAAGTCGCAGGGACAAACTCTTCCGTTGGTCCAAATTGACCTGCGGAATATTTTTGAGCGCGGCCAGGCCTATGTTGCGCTTTCGAGAGCCACTCACAGGAGGGGATTACAGGTTAAGAATTTCAACCCCTCGAGGATCCTTACTCACGAGAAAGTGGTTGCCTTTTACGATAGTCTGATGACTGTGGACGAAATCAAGGATCGCGAGGAGAACAAGCGCAAGAAGACTGCGGGTTTTGTTTCGAGCACGCAGCTGGACCGGTTGGAGAATCTGGCGGAGAATGTTGCTGATGCAGGCGATTTTGTGAACGAGAAGGATAATGTAATAGATGAGTTCGACTCCGTATGGAGCGGACAGTAATGATATGTATTCACACGCTATGATAAAAATTACTGGGCTCCGACTATCCAGCCAATGATATTTTTGCCCAAGTCGTTGGATTTCTCCATCTTCGTCTGTCCTGACAGAGGAGTCTCTGGTACGACCTGGTCAAGAATGGTATTGAGTAACTGCCATTGCTCAAGAACGTTGGTATTAAATTCAGTGGGCACTATCAGCATAAGACGCTGCAACAGGCGGAGTTTCTGTGTAAGTTGTTCGTGCTCTTCTGGCTCGGCATAGTCGTTCTTGACGAGCTGGAATATGGAGAACCATCTTTCCTGGATGAGGCCGAATAGCTTGGGATCGTTTGTCTTGGCGTTGACGGCGAGGTCGATCAAGGTCAAGGCCAACTGCAGTGAGTGGCCAAAGTCCTGAGCAATAGCGAAGTCAAGGCAGAGGAGGCGCAGCTTGATGGTAGCCATCTCATCTTGGCTATTGAGGCCTGCGCTCAAATGTAGCAGCAAAGACTCCAGCAGCTCGGTTTCTTTGTATGCGTTGCCGTTAAGTTCGAGAATCCTAGACACAACCTTCAAAGGGTCTTTGGTCTCCAATATGTCTAGCGGCTTGATAGGAACGCCCGGCTGGAAGAATAATTTCCAGTGCAACAGTTCCTGATTAGCTGCGATGAGCTGCTCGAGTTGCAACGTGCCTGAGCTGGCCATCTGCAGGCAGCTTCTGGCGCTCTTCAAGTGGCCCATGGACGGGTCGCAATTGGTTGCTTTGCGGTAGAACCCCCATGCGGCCTCGATAAGAATTTTGTCCACTTGACCGGTGTCCAGCGTGCAGTACCTGGGCAAAAAGACAGAGGTGGTCAAGGCAAACATGTTTCTCGACAGCAGTTTGCTCAGGAAGAGCTCATCGACTTGCGCAAGCTGGACTTTGTTGAAGACATGGGTGTTGTTGACTACCCAGTACACCGAGCTGAGCAAGCCTTCCCACTGTCTAGCGGTTTTCAAATACTCAGACTCCGTGATGACGAACTTTTCCAGCTGGTCGTACTGATCCTGCGCATCGAGGTCAGGCAGCTCAGCCACCTGAGCTAGCGACATGTTGTTGGAGAAGAGTCTTTCTCCCGTCTCGACATATTGTGTAAGCGTTTTGATGGTGTCTGGACAAGGCACTATGGAGTCTGCCATTTCTTGCAGCGAGTCTTTGCGCGCAAGCTTCTGATGTGTGTTAGGGGCCAGATTGTCGGGATCGATGAACTTGAGACAGACGAGAATTTCCTTCATCTTCACGTAAAGAGAGAGCGACACTTCAGGACATAGGTAAATTGTTGCTAACACTATGCTGACAAACTTCTGTAAGGCACCGCTGGCCTGCAGATAGGCCAGCAGGTCGCTGGACGTGACGAGCCTTGTGAGGGTTTCGAACTTGGACTCGATCTGGACGGCCGATTTGGTGACGATGGTGTTTCCTAGCGAGAGGATGTAGTCATTGATAGTTGTTCCGTTGTCGTTGAGATAGCTGTGGTATTTGCAGAGCCAGTGGACGATTCGGTCGTGGTTCGAGGTGTCCATGAGTCCAACGAACAGCTCGATCTGTTCCGTTGGCGAGTAATAGTCGACAAAGTCGAGCAACAGCGGGACGTCTCCGAACTCAGCCAAACCGGCGAGCGGCACGTAGAACTGGCTCCACCAGTCTGTCAATTGCTTGGACGCGAACTCTGAGGCGACCACAAGGTCTCCGATCTCGTCTGGTGCGGGCAGAACTCCCAGATAGTAGTTTGTTTTGAAGATCCTGGCCTGGACAAACTGAAAGTAGAGGTCCTGATTGCTGTCAAAGTGCCATCGGTGCACCTGTTCCTCAAGCGAGCTATCGGCCTCAGCCACCAGCTCTGCCACAACGTTTTCTGGAAAGACAAACGCTTCAGGCAAAGGGAGAGAATCTGGGGCGTCGGAGCCCCTGAGCGCGGACTGGGCAGCCTCGAAACAGAGGCGCAAGGAAACGGTTTCGGGCAGATCGACCAGCAAGATCTGCAGCGTTTTGACAGGCGTGAGCAGCGACGCAATGGCGCCCAGGTCTGCTGGAAGCTCGCCGCGCACGCACGTGTCTCTGAGCGCCAAATATGTGGAGTCTGATTCAGACATGTTATTGAGAGATTGTAAAAATATTTCGCGAGCCGAGTGATTTGGCCGTGCAAGCACAGATCAGTAAGGGGGAGGTGATCTGCTTAGACAAGAGGCACTAATGAACTACCGGCTAAAATCTGGCTAGAACCAGACTAGAGACGCTGCATACAAAGAAACGGGAACGGGCGAGAGATTATGTTGGAGACGTATGATACTCTCACGGACGACTACTCAAACAGGAAACAGCCAGAAAACGCTTAGTGCATTGAACAAAAAGTTGCCAAGTAGTGCATCAGCTCTACAATGGCTTTGGGCTACATCACAAACTTTGCAGTACGCCTTGCCAGAGGCTCGTGATACGTGCTTGAAGTTGACCAGAGTGCTCGAAAAAAATTCTTAGTTTGGAGATCGCACAGATGAATGCGGAACGGAAATATTTGCTCACCAGCCCAGGAGCGTGTTTTTTTTCGACGCTCGGTGCGGGACAGGTCTCGCAGGGCCGGAAAACTCTCGCCGGGAAGCCGGCACTGGCGAGCAGACGATGATGGACAGGCTGGCTTGGATGCGCCGCGAGCACAGGCCCGTCGGAGTCGCTGGCATTGTGCGACCGTGTTGCAATTTTCAGATTGTGCGTCTCGCGTACATTTTTTCGCAGCCACTGGGAGGAGAAGACTGCGCAGGCTTCGGATACAAGCCAAGCCTCGGCTCGCGGACCACTACTGGCACAAATGTGCCGCCATTACTGGAATGTGAAATATTGCTATCGCCCATTGGACGGTAGATGCCTATTTACTTTTTTGGGAAGTGTCCCTGGGCGAAAGGGGGGAGGGGGGCTGTGCCGTCGCCGGTCATCATGTACTCCTGGCCAGGGGGAGGATTATGGTGCAAAGTTGGCGATGAATGGGCGGATCTTCTGGGGTAGGGAGACTGTATATGGGTGAAGCCGACTGGGGGCGGAGGGGCAAGGTGCGCCGGATAGGGCATTATTCGGCCCTCGGAATGCGAGTGGCCCATGGGAGGCGCAAAAACGCCAGGGTAAGGAGGATACTGTATCTGTGTCTGGGGAGCGGGCGGTGTATGGCCCACTTCCTGAGAATACACTCTGTGGAGCTGAGGAGCCGGCATTACGGGAGTGGCGTTGAGCTGTAGCAGCTGGGTGTGCAATTGGTGGGAGTACTCCTTGAGCATTTCGCAATTGGCCGCCAGGGCATTGTTCTGGTACTGCAACTCCTCGATGTACTCAGTAGCTTTCTTAAGCACCTGCGCTTTGGAATCTGTCTGCGGTTTAACGAGCGGGATGATGTTGCGTAGTTTCTGGAACCCATCGATGATCTTGCTACGACGTCGCTGCTCGGACTTGATGTGGAGGTGTTTTCGTAACTCTTGAGAGATGGATTCTTGCCGAAGAGAGGAACCCTGCTCGGGTTCGGTAGGTTTGGTTTTCTCCGTCTCTTCAGATTCGTTTATTAAAGAGGGGAGTTCCATTGATTAGCGTGGGCTAAGGTACCATGGATTACGCTACTCTTGGACAAGAATTAAACATCCGCCTTCGTGGAAAATTTAAACTTTATATATCCACATAGTGAATCGCTGTAGCGAAGAAAATAGTTTCCTAGTATCAATGACCGGGTAGACTGCAGCATGCATGAGCACCAGCGCGAACAATGTCCACTTGCAGATCCCTCGATGTCTGGAAGGACAAAAATGTTCGGCATGAAAAAGAGCGCCGGAACATGCGGCTGTATAATGCGATGTTCTCAGCTCGCGCTCGATATCAGAGCCATAATTTCGCATGCGTTGTATTTAACGATTTTGTCAGCCTGTGCATGCGTTGCGCCAGGACATAGCACTCCCGAGCAGCGCAGAGATACAATGACTGCGTAATATTAGGTACCTTTTCTGCATAAACAATAGCGCAAGCTGCGCTGCAGCTCTTGTTAGCTCCATTCAAAATTTTCTAAAACAAACTGGAAACCGCGGGTTTCTGACGACACAAAGTTTTCTCTCCCAGCTTCCACACGCATCATGTCTGCAGCGTTCCTTGTTTAGCATTCGCCAGAGAACTTTGCTAGCGCGTCATTACTTGTCAGAATCCCGTACAAGTACATTCTTAGAGCCTGACTTGTGCCGCATCACATCATTTATTATCCGATCGCCAGAACCCCTGGTGATCATGTAGGATTTCAGCCTCGAGCTCGGCCACAGGGCCCACCACCCGGATCGGTTTCTGCCCCGCCTCAATCACCTCTCGGCAACTCAGCGACATGGTCATGTTCTCCTCTGCGGCGCCCGTCACTTCCAGCAACCGAGTCTCTGCCACCCCGTACACGATCTGTCCGATATTGGCCCAATACGCAGAGCCTGCACACATACAGCACGGCTCGAACGTCGTGTACAGAGTGCAGTTCCACAGAAACTCAGGCCCGAACCGGCGAAACGCCTCCCTACACAGCGTCGACTCCGCGTGGTTGAAAGTGTCGACGTTGCCTTGCTCCAAAAGCACCTCCCCGCTCGGGCCCACCAGTATGCATCCAAACGGGTGTCGGCCTTCGGCTTTGGCCCTCTGGGCCACCGCTATGCAGATGCGCAAGTTCGCGAGAACGTCGCGCGTGCTGGGTCCTGATCGCGTGAGCATGCTGGAAAATCAAACTCGGTTTTTCTGGTGCATGGGTGCTTTATTTTTATTTTTCACTTTACGCGTCCGTGCAATGTCGCGATACAACGTCCTATGGCGCAAGCAGACGCAGCGGAAGAACAAGACGTGGGACGGCGACGGTGTGCTGGTGGTGGACAACGACGAGGGCGTAGTGCGCGACGACTCGGGCAATTTTCTTGCGCGAGTCAAGAACTGCTCCAAGGTGATCCGAAACGGGGTGTTTAGAGGCGGCAGCTACGAGTTCGAGCTGGACGGCGACGAGTCCATCGACGAGCCGTCCGCCGCGGTGCCGGCGGCGCGCGCGGTCTCCGCGCCGCTTCGGAAGGCGCCGCCAATGCGTAGCGTCGGCCTGCTGAAACGGCCCAGATTGGCTACCAAAAGCGTGTCGGAGCTCGTATCGGCCCCGCCACGCACACCCGCGCCGCCTCGTCGAGTCACACAGTCGCTGCACGACGCGACGGCGCCGAACGGTCTGGTGCTGCCGCGGCCGCCCAACGCAGACCCCAACACCGTCAGAGACGTCGTGGTGGACCCTGTGCTCGCTGAAAATTTGCGGCCGCACCAGAAGGAGGGTGTTAGATTCATGTACGAGTGTGTGATGGGATTCCGCGACTACGACGGGCACGGCGTGCTGCTGGCGGACAGCATGGGGCTGGGGAAGACGTTGCAGACGATCGCGCTCGTGTGGACGCTGCTGAAACAGAGCCCTGTAGCAGGCGGGGCTCCCGTGGCACGCAAAGTGCTGATCTGCTGTCCCGTGACTCTAGTGATGAACTGGAAAAAGGAGTTCCGCAAGTGGCTCGGCCCGAACCGCGTGAGCATCCTCGCGCTGAACGGCTCGTCGAGTAACGACCGGCAGAATATCCAGGGGTTTGCGAATACCAACGTCTACCACGTGATGATTATCGGGTACGAAAAAATGCTCACGGTGGCAGACGACGTGGGGTGCGTCAAGTTCGACCTGGTGGTGTGCGACGAGGGCCACCGGCTCAAGAGCGGGAACAACAAGGTGCTCAAGGTGCTGGAGGCGCTCGACATCAAGCACCGGGTGCTTCTGTCGGGCACGCCGATCCAGAACGACCTGGCCGAGTTCTACAACGTGGCGAACTTTGTGAACCCCGGCGTGCTGGGCGACTTCAAAAGCTTCCAGCGCAGCTACATGCGGCCGATTCTGCGCGCGCGCGAGGCGAACTGCACAAACGCCGCGGTGCTGGAGCAGGGCGAGGCCGCCTCGCGCGAGCTTATAGAGCTGACCAAAAAATTCACGCTGCGGCGGACAATCGAGGAGATCACCAAGTTCCTGCCGCGTCGCTCCGACTACGTGCTGTTTGCGCCGCCCACCAAGCTGCAGATCAGGCTGTTTGAGTCGCTGCAGAAAACCGCCCAGTTCGGCAGAATTCTCAGCGCTGCGCCGGCCAACGACTCGTTGCAGCTGATCACGACGTTCCGCAAGATTTGCAACTCGCCAGCGCTTTTGACCGAGGACGCCATGTTTGCCGGGCTGTGTGGCATCGACGACCTGCGCGGAGAGCTCAGCAGCAAGGTGCGCAGCGCAAAAATCGTTCTTCTGGTGAAGCTCCTTAGAGGTATCTACAAACTCCGGCAGGAGAAAGTTGTCGTTGTGTCCAATTTCACCCAGACGCTGGACGTGCTGGAGAAACTGATGAACGTGCTGGAGCTGCCGTTCTCGCGGCTCGACGGGGCAACGCCGGCTAGTTTGCGCGACAAAATTGTCTCCGACTTCAATAGGGCCTCCTGGGACGCGAGTTTCGTGTTTCTGCTCAGCGCCAAGTCCGGCGGCATGGGTTTGAACCTCGTTGGCGCGTCCAGACTCATCCTATTCGACAACGACTGGAACCCGGCCGTGGACCTGCAGGCTATGGCCAGGGTCCACCGTGACGGCCAGACCAGACCGGTGCACGTGTACCGGCTCCTGACGGCCGGGTGCATCGACGAGAAAATCTTCCAGCGCCAGCTGATCAAGACCAGTCTAAGCGACAAATTCCTGGACGACTCCACCGACTCGAATGAGAACTTCTTCGACACAACAGACCTCAAAGACCTGTTTACCGTGTCGCAAGTGAACTCGAACACGCACATGTTGCTGGATTGCCAATGTCCGGGGGACGGCAGAGCGCTCGAGTACGCAGAGCCGGCCAAGACCACGCGCGAGCTCAGCTTTATATCTGCTCTCAACTATCAGGACCCGAACATAGACGGGGAGAAGAAAAAGCAGCAGATTAAACGGTGTCTGATGGACTACCGCCATTACGACCCCGCCAGCGGCGCACGCACGGGTGACCCGGTCATCGACAGCATCATGGACTCCCAGGAGCCCGATAAACCGGCCATCTCGTACATATTCATGAAAAATTAATTGCTTCGCTACTTGGCCAGCTTGCCGAGGCGCGCCTCTGCAGCACGAGCGCGCTGTTCGCGCAGCACACGCATTCTCTGCTCGGGCGTTAGCGAGCTGAGGTTCTGCTGCTCGCTGATCCCGAGCGGCTTTCCCCGGCCAAATTTCCTGGTATGCTCCTCCTCTGCTTCCTGCTTGGCCTTCTCGAGCTGCTCGTCTATTAGCTTTTTGGACTCTTCCTCGTTCTGTCTCTTCTCCTCATTGAGAATTCTTTCCACCTCCTCCTTCGTCATTGGCTCTTTCACCCTCGCCGCGTCCCAGTCGCAGTAGTCCTCTCCCAGAATATTTCTAGCCACCTGGAAGGAGTATTTGGCATGCTGCGGAGCAAGTTCGTAGGCAGTGCGGCCGTGGCGGTTCTTGATCGCCGGGTCGGCTTTCAGGTTGACTAGCAGAACCTGGCACATGTGGCTGAGCTTGCTTGCGGCCGCAAAATGCAACATGGTCGGCGTGCTGGCGTATTCCGTCTCTGGTTGCAGCTCCATGTTCACGTCGATTTTATTTTTTTTCACAAACGATATTAAAGCCGGAGCTTTTGACCGCTTGAGCAGGCTCACCAGCTCCCTGGAAACCTCTATTTCCGGTGCCTCCTGTTTTGGAGCTGTCGCCTGCTTCTGGACCCGGCTTCGAGCAAGAGCTTCCTGCTGACGCTGTTCGCGCTCCACCTCGTCTTTTCGTGCCTTGGGCAGGTCCAGTATCTTCAAGTAGCTCAGTTCGATCCAGGCGCGCCTCAGCTCGGACGACGTAGGCCTTTTCGTGGTGAAAGGGAAATGTCTGACTCGCGGATCATCGTTTTGTATGGGAGAGTTCGGATACCCAACAATGATTTTGTGTGACGCCGATCCGCTCGCTTTGATGAATATGGACTCGCATCCATCCAGCTCCTTCCTCCATTCAGCCAGCAGATTGCGAATATCCTGCTGCAACGCCTGCTCGTTGTATCTTCTCAGCGTAGAACCGGCACTTTTGGCCTTTCCCTTGGCATTATCGCTAGCGTTCTGTGCGCCTCCTTGCTTCCGTCTGGTTGTGTATCTATGGAACGTCTTGTGGTGCAAAAAGCGCACGCTTTGCATTCTGAGCTCCTCGGCCGACCCATGGTTTCCCTTTGTGCTGATTCTGTCGTGAGAGATAATGGCTCCTGCAAAATGGCCTCCTCCCAGCATGAATAGTGCGCTTTTGCCAGAGCCCGTTGTAGCAAGTTTTTTGAGGCTCTCTAGCGGATCTTCGTTCTGTGCATTCAGCACTGTCTTATAAGCGCCAAAGCAAAGCCCAGCGTCCAGCAACGAGCTCTGAAACAAGACGAATGGAGACTGCGTGTTGAGGTAGCTGACAGTGGACTCCTCGTCCTCAGAGTCACTTTCGGACCCAGAAATGCTCAGCTGGTCCATCATGTCCTCAAATTGGGCCTCGCTCACTGTGGTGAGCCCCGCCAACGATCTTTTGCGGTTAAATCGTTCAAAGTCGTCCTCTTCAACCCTGGGCTTGGGCCTCGAAACGTAGCCAGTGTTTGATATCGGTTCCTGTTCCTTGGGCTTCGCCTCCAGCGTATGCGAATCAAAGTACATGAGCTCCAACGAGCTGAGCACCGGCGTGCTCAGGTTGAATATGTACAAATCTGAGATCTCCAAAGAATGTGTCATGGAAAAATAAATTTAAGAGGATTTTTAGTAAATTTAATTTTCACAATATTTAATTCTTATCGATGAGACTCGCGGTGTTATTCTATTTAATTTTGACAGCGGCCTCGCTGCCCTTTTTTGATATCCGGCCACAATTGAGCCTCCCCAACACGCTACACAGCTCTGTTGCAAAAACAGACGCTCTGGGACTCTACCCTCTGCACAAGAGACTGGTGAGGATAAAAAGTCTCAGTTTCCAGGAGCAGGACGCTTCCGAATACGTCGCTGAGTACCTCGAGAGATTGGGGCTCACGGTCGAAAGAATAAGCTCCCAAGGACGGAACAACATCTACGCTTATCTGGGAAAGACAAGAGATACTAAGGTACTGCTCACCTCCCACATCGACACCGTGCCCCCTTATATTGGATACTACGACAATGGAGACAAAATTTACGGCCGTGGCTCGTGCGATGCGAAGGGCTCGGTGGCTGCTCAAATCACTGCATTCACAGAACTGTACGAGCAGAACGAAGTGCACGAAGGCGACGTTGCTCTACTTTTCGTTGTTGGAGAGGAGACGGGCGGGGACGGCATGTTGACGGTGGACAAGGAAATTGACGCTAACTGGAAGATGGTTGTGTTTGGCGAGCCAACAGAAAACAAGCTCGCAGTTGGCCATAAAGGCGTCTACTACTTCAAAATTCAAGTTCACGGACTTTCTTCGCACTCCGGGTATCCAGAACTGGGGAAAGACGCAAACAAAGAGCTCATCAGAATAATGTACGACATCTCCACCACCGAGTGGCCCTCAGACGACATTTTGGGCGCTACCACCGTAAACATCGGACTAATAAACGCCGGAACGGCAGCAAACGTGGTCTCTCCTATTGCTGAGTGCGAGGTCCTTATGAGAGTCAGCGTGCAATCTGACGCGATCCAAAAGAAAGTTGCCGACATCCTGGGGAAATACCGGGACTTTGAGCTGAACGTCATCCAAAAGGCAGACCCTACGTACCTGGACCACGACGTTCCTGGATTTGACACCATGCTGGCCGCTTACTTCACGGACGTGCCTAATCTTACACAGCGTGGATTCAAGAGATACCTGTACGGGCCAGGCTCGATTCTAGTCGCCCACGGAGACAATGAGTACGTTACTCACGAGAGCTTGGAGGCCGCTGTCGAGGGATACAAAAAACTTGTCGCGTATGGACTTAAATGATGTATTCCATTTCTATATCCATGAAGAGTCGGCATGCTCTTCACGGACTCAAACCAGGAACTTTATATAGCGACGTCAATCCCATATTCGTAGAGCGTGTGGATATCTGTCGCATAATGAAGTAAAAATAAAAGTAAAATATAATTTTTTTTAACGTGCACGGTAGCTGAGAAAAATTACGTAAATGGCTATCTCTACGGTAGCCTTGAAATTAGAGTCAGCGGCCTGTTCTTCGACAAAACGTTGCAGCTGCACAAATTGTGATGCTATGTAGAGCAAAGAATACTTACGAAATATGCAATGATTAGACTAGTCCAAAATATCTGAGGCCGAGTAGCTGCTAAACCATTGAGAAAAGATGACTTGGAAAATGATGTCCAGCTTGTAGATTATCTCTCGAGAAAAATAATCGGCAGTACCCTGTTGCGGCAAGTTAGCAGAATTTCATGGTTTGACACCCTCATTCGTCAAGCACGTTAGCGGTCTCGAGATTATGCGCTCGTCTACTCAACCACTTTTACAGCCGGGATTTAGGATGACTAACAAGTGATGTCACCGCACCGAATCCCATTTAGCTGGCCTATACCGACCATGGTATTGTTAGTGTCTGAAAAACTTGGTATTACCGTTCTAAATAGGGATATTTTAACAGTACTGACAAGTAAGGAATTTTTTTTATCTTTTTATTCAGATCAATACACTGACATGTCTGAGCCAGCCTGGAAACGTTTGGGTCTGAAGATTAAAGAAACCGTGGAAAATGATCCTCTGGGAATCACAAAGGTGAACATTCTCAAGAAACGAAAAGCCGAGGCTGGGCCGGACACAGAGAAGAAGCCTCCCAAGAGGAAGAAGCTACCCAAAAACGAGCGCCCACCGCCGCCAGAAAAGGACCAGCTGAAGTATCTTCGACAATACCACGAAGAACGTGCGAACTGGAAATTCTCCAAGGCGAAACAGACCTGGATTCTCAAAAACCTCAAGAGCATTCCTCACGAGTATGACGAAGCTCTGAAAGCGTACATTGCCAGCATTCAAGGCGGATCAAGAGACCGTGTGAGAGACCAGATGATGGCTGTGGTTGATAAATGGAACAGTGCTGCTCGGAAGGCTCTTGAAGACATGCAGAAGGCTTCAGAGGGGGCCGAGGAGAGCGAGAAAAAGGAGGAAGAGAAGGACGAGAAGGACGAGGAGGACGGGAACGAGGAAGCGAAAGGCGACACCAAGGAGAAAGAGGAAAAGAAGGATGCTGCGGAGGACATTCCAGAGTTTGACTTTGTGATGCGTGCCAAGGCGCTGGTCGAGGTTATCACCAACGAGCAGGTTTTGGTTGAGGGAATGGCCGAGGAGAGTGTCGAAGATGGCGACAAGCAGCAGTCTGGCGGACAGAAGGAGGCAGAGCGGGTGCATCCGATGATAGTGGAGGAGGTGGATGTTCAGGAATACGTTGGGGACGAGGACGAGCAGCTGGAGGTGAGTGCGAAAAGCGAGAACCACAGAGCTGTCGAAGAGGCCAACGGAAAACACAAAGACAAGGCCAGAAAGGCCAAGAAGACGAAGAAAGATAAGAAGGCCAAGAAGGACAAGAAAGACAAGATCAAGGAGGAAGCACAGTAATGGTAGCATGTAGCAGTCTGTATAATAGTCGATCGACGCGAGTGAAAAAAGTAATGCGCTTTTTTATCGAAGACCTTTTCACCCAAACCAGAGACACTGACCCGGATCTGCGGTTTATGGCCCTCAATGATCTCGAAAAGGAGATCGTGAGCAACCCAGATGCGTTTTCGAGCGAGAACCGGATTCAGTACGCCAAGATACTTCTCCACTGTCTTGACGACGAGTTTCCCGAGGTTCGCACACAGGCGTTGAAGTGCTTTGAGACGCTCACTCCGCGTCTTGGCGGCTACGTGGTATCTGTGGTGGCCGCCTTGAGCAAGAAGAAGCCCGAGAAAATCTCCATCACCTCCACCATCTACACCATGGCGATCCATAACGTTCTGAAGAATTTCGTTGCCAATGAGTCTGTGGCGCGCGACGTGGCGAACTGCGTGCTGGGCGAGGTGTTTGGCGTGGGGACCGCTGCGTTCTACACCACCATAGACTACATTGAGATCGTGACCGACCTCATTGAATATCTGGGCAATTACCTGACTACTGCCCAGCTGAACAACATAGCCGAGCTGCTGGCCAAGGCCTGCTACGGCGCGGACATAGTGATTGCAAAAAAGTCTGTTTTGGCCCTTGGACTGGTGGCTAGAAACTTCACCTCTGTCGACCAGCTGCAAAAGCTCGTTTCCCTGGTCAATGAAACCGCTACACACAAACAGCAGGACACCACACTGAAGGTGCTGAGCAATCTTGTGCGCTCAAACGCCAAGCTGATGGCCCAGATCGTCCAGCAGGTGCACCCGACTGTGCTCGACGGACTGTATCTGGATACTCTGGGCGAGCCCGACGACGACTTCGACGCCCAGCAGGAGACGGAGGAGACCCGTACCGAGGCGCTCGGATGCCTGGTGGCCATGTTCGAGTTTCTGCCGATGGAAGAGTACGTTTCTGGCTCGCTGGAACTGGCTGCGCGCTTTATTGGCTACAATCCGTATAAAGACGACGCAGAGGAGGAGCTGGAGGACGAGGACGAGTACGAACTTTCTGATCTTGACGACGACGACGACGACGAGGGGTCTGGGCTGTCGTGGAAGCTGCGTCGCGAATCGGCAAGACTCGTCAGTGTTATCCTCGAGAAACACCCGTTGGCTCTCACGACGGTTTTCCAATCGGTCTTCGAGCCTCTCTTGTGCCAGCTGCAGGACGACAACGGGGCTGTTGTTTCGGAGGCGCTACGCACGCTCACCAAAATCTTCCGCTTCAGTGTCCAGGACGGGCCGTACTACACGTTGAAATTCTTTAACTCTCTGAACGACTATGCGAGCGGCCGTCGGGGATCGGACGTCAGCATGCAGAGCGACGAGGACCCGTCCGTGTATCTGGGCAGCAAGAGTGCGCACATCTGCGAGTCGTTCAGCAAACTGCTTGTGGCCAAGAACTCGACGAAACTCTCGTTGCTGCACGACTTCTTTGTGGAGTTTTCGAATGCGACAGACGGCTGCGAGTCCGAATGGACGCCGGCTCTGATGAACAAGCTACTGGACTTGAGAGAATCCAGCATCACGTCTGAGGTGATCAAGTTTTATACTGCTGTTCTGAGAAAGTATTCTCTGGCAGACCTCGGAAGCAGCTCCCAGAGAATCATTGCCGATATTGTTGGCTGCGTGGCATCCTCGTCCAATCACGAGCTCGTGCTGGAGGCTCTGGGATTACTCACAGACGTGCTCGAGCACGAGCCGGGCGCACAGCTCCCGAGCGTCGAAACGGCACTTATAGAAAAAGCCTCCAACAAGAACTACTCGACCGAGATCCGGCAGAAAGCGCTCGTGTGTCTGTGCTCGCTGGTCACCAAATCGGAGGTTTCCGATTTGCAAACGGCGCTGAAAGTGTTTGTGGACACCATAACGATCGAATTCCTGGTGGCCGTGGATCTGCAGTGTATTGAGACTATAGTTTCTCGCATTTCGCAAAACCTCTCCAGCGACTGGTATCATCCAATCATTTTGCAGCTGGTGGAGTATCTCACGATTTCTGAGCTCCAGGCGCAGAGCTTGAACACGCTGGCCAGCCTGTCAGCCAACCTGGACGAGAAGGAGGGTCTCCTGGTTTTCGACCGCGTTGTTGCGGCCAGTGAAGCCGGCAAAATCGCTCCAGAAAATACTGTGCGCGTGTGCAAGATCTTGAGCGTGCTGGCTACCAAGATGGCCGTTCCGGACGTCGACCGACTCATCGGATTGCTCGTGCAGTTCTCTAGAGCCCCTAGCTTCGACCAGGACACACTGGCCGAGCTAACCAACGCCATACTGGGCCAAAAACCGGCCAAGCAGTTTATTGAGGTTGTGCTGCAGCACGGCACCCATAGCGACCCAAACGTGTCCAAGATCCTGGGTTTGGTGAGCGTGAGTGACAAGAACTTTGCCTCTATTGACGAGACGCTACGGAACCTGAACAACAGCGAAAACGTGCTGTTTTCGATCACGTTCCTGGACCAGGTGTCCAAATCCATGGATCTGGACGTTGGACTGGCGCCGTTTGTGCGCCATCTCAATGGGGACGACGAGATTAAGAACGCCGCCATCTCAGCGATCGCCACTATTGTCTCACGCAACCCAGACAAATATCTGGACGAGTTGACAAAGCAGCTTGAGTTGGGGGCCACGGTTCCCTTGCTGCAGGCACTAAAAACCGCTTTACAGAAAATCAATCTCGACACGGCGTCGTCCAGACATCTATTCGACATGCTACTCAAATCCGAGCTTGGAAAGAGCGACGCCGTGGAAGCAGCCGCCGGAATAGTAGCGCTTCTTGCAGTCCACGGCTCGCTGCTGCCGGACATGTGCTCCATTCTGTCGGCCGGCCCGTCACGGACACAAAAGCTGGTGCTGGGGTCCACCACCAAACACGTGCTTGTGGACCCATCGCTGGAGTCAGACTTGATCTTACTGTCCAGGTATCTTGAGCTTACGTCGGCCGAAGAGTACATTTTCAGTGCAGACCTGGAACTCAAGCAACTCGGGGTTTCTAATCTCATCTTCGCCCTGCACAAAAAGCCCCTGGTTGCTCTTCCGCTGGTCTCCAAGATCATGCCGCGCGTGCTGGAAACAGAGCTCGAGCAGAAGAAAGAGTACGTTGAGGTGGTCCGGATCGGTCCTTTCAAACACAAGCTGGACAACGGCCTGAACTACAGAAAGGGGCTGTACGAGATGGTGTACACGCTGCTGACCACTCTTGAGACCAGCCCGCAGTTTTTGGTGATCAGCCAGATCGACTGGAGCCTGGTTTTCGAGAGGTTTGTGGCCAGGGCGTTCAAGGACGACCCAACGGTCATTTTCATCTGTCTGCTGACGCTCATCAAGATTATCAACCTGAAACCGACGATTTTCGCTGGAAATCAGACGCTCGAAAATTTCGTCGCGGCATGTTCGAAGGTGCTGGACAAGAAACTCAAGGACGACGCTCCGAAGCAGGAGCTCGAGAAACGCAACGACACCGTGCGGGCCGTCCTCAGATGCTGCAAAAAAATCAACACCATGGTGGAGTCCGGCCAGCTGAAGCTGGACAGCTACTCGAGCTGGTCGAACTTTGTCAGCGCATTAAAAACCAAGTACCCTATCTTCGACGTTGATGAGTGACCATATATACGTTCAGTAGCCAAAACACTCCAGACCTTTGTCGAAACCCTGCTCCCATTCCCAGATAAAGTTGCTGTTTCCGCGTGAGGCAGCGTGCTGCTGCCGTCTGAGCGACTTCCACGCTGCTCTGCGGCCGATCCGGGAGTTGTCGAACTTCGCAAACTCCACGCTGTCGCCCCAGGCCGTCTCGAAACCTTCTCTGTACCGCCAGTGCTCGTACTTCTCGTTTGGATTCTGCCGGTTCCAGTACTCCTCGTGCGCCCTGAGGTTCTCGCCGAGCCGCCTGTTTTTCTCGTCCTCCGACGGAATCTGCGGCTCCGAGCTCCGCGACGGGATGCACCCGGCCTCCACCATCGGCCTGAACCCCCACTCGCCGCCCTCTCCGTGCTCAAACTTGAACGTCCAGAAATAGAAGCCAAAACCGGCACGTTCTCTGAACAGCCGTGCCTGCTCATTGCCAAAGCGACGCACACAGGCCTCTCTGTCGAAGCGTCCCTTGCACCACGACGAATTGTCCAGTACACACGAATACTCGCCTATCATAAAGTCTGCCGGACCAGAGAGATTGGTGAGCACCGAACCGGACAGGTCGTTGATGATCTGGTCCACCCCCTTATTTTTGTCCTCGTCGCTGAAACATCTGTACACATGGTGGTCGATAACGATCCCGGGATCTGTGCCGGGCTTGGTGTGGCCGTTCACAAACTTCACCCATTGGTCCGGCCACCAGCCGTCGCTGATGACAACGGGGATGTCGGGGTTGACAGAGCGGACGGCTCGGATGGCCTCGAAGTAATATTTTTTCTGGCCCATGGCCTCGTCAAAATCAGACTCGTTCACCACCTGCAGAGCACACACGTTTTCAAAGGAGGCCAGGTCGGAAGCTATGAACCTGACAATCGCAACGGCCTTGTCGACGGCCTTGGCACTGCCCCAGAACCCTGCCCTCTCAAAACGCTCTCCGGAGTGTCCTCCGGTGTTGGCTCCCTTCGGCAGAGCATGCAGATCCACAACGACGGAAATGTTGTGGTCGGCGGCCTTCCGGATGTACTGTTTGTAGATTGTCCAGGCGTTTTGGTAGACTGCACTCACAGAGTCGAACGACGTGCCGCTGTTGAATTGTCGAGGGTCGACTGCCCAGTAGCCGATTGGTAGCCGGACAGACTGCACGCCCTTGGCCTTGAGCCACTTCCAGTCGTTGTCCGTGCAGTAGCGGGTCCAATGGGCTTCAAAAAGCTTCCGTGTCTCCTCGACGCCCTTCTGCTGCACGTTCATCTTCACAGCGTCCAGTTCGTACTCGGTGTTGCCAAAGGGACTGTCGAAGATGTACTTCTCGAGCACAAACACGGAGCCGAAGTTCACGCCAAAGTTGTGACGGTATAGGTAAACTGTTCTGCGGTCTACTTGCGACGGGGCGGGGACCGCCGGGAGGTCCGACGAGAGCTTGTTCTTGAGCTTGTCAAACATACGGAAATTCTGTGTTTTATTGCTATATCGGTTTACCGGGGTGGAGCTTCCCCACGTGCTCGACGCTCACGTGATCCACCTCGTCGGAGCGGGCCGAGGCGGCGGCGGAGAGCAGCAGGGGCCGTTCTGGCGGCTGGCGTCCCGTGACGACGCGGAAGATCTTGACGGCAACGTCGCGGCTCTCCCAGAGCGGGTAGAAGATGATAAAGCACGCGGCCAGCACCAGCCAGATCATGATTACCACGATCCACGCGCGGAAAAAGTTCCTGCTGTAGATGTACTTCTGGCCGTACATTGGCATGGGGACAAGGAAGATCACGATGACGAAGAACGCCCACGACACGACCTGTGCGACCGTCGAGGATCTCTTCAGCTCCTTGGCGGAGTCCTTTTCGCCGACTTCCATGGCCTTTGCTTCCTGTACGGTAGCGTCGTCTCCGGCGACGAAGTTTGAGTCCAGCGTGCCGAAATCGTAGTCCTCTGCGGCAGGCCGAAGGTAGGAGATGGCCACAATGAAGATCAGCGAGCCAAAGAGCCCAACAAAGTTGCCGACCGCGCACGAGTACTGCTCGCCAAGCGTGTCTTTATTGACGGCTCCGTAGAACGACTTGGCCGAGGAGCACCAGCCGATGATGGCGATAACCGTGGCAAGCGGCGGGCCGACGACCACGCTCAGCGGCGTCATCTTTTTCCAGAACAAGGTGAGCACAAACGCGAACACGCCGGGCCCCAGCGCAATGCCGATAAATGTGATGATCCACGAGATGGTGATCCCGATGTAGTTGAACAGCACCGTGAGCGCGCCCATGGCGATGGCAAAGACCGTCACACACAGGTGCGACACCCTGATCAGCTGTTTTCCGGACGCGGCCGGGTTGATGTAGGCTCTGTATACGTCGTAGGTGACGACGGACGAGAAGCCGATCAGCTCGGCGCTGGTGGCAGACGTGGCTGCGAGCCACACCATCAGCATGCCGGCAGCGGCTCCGGACCGGCCCAGGATCTGGTACATGCCGTACAGCATCGGGATGCCCTCGCTGACGAGCTCGGCCGGGATTGGGTCAGGGTACGTTGGCGAGGAGGTGTCGTGCATCAGCGCGAGCGCAGACAGGGCTGTGCACGAGGAGAGCGCGAGCGGGATGATCAGCCAGCACAGGCCGCCGAAAAAGTAGCCCCACATGCTGCTGCGCGGCGACGCGGCGAGCGCCTTCTGGCTGTAGCTGGGGTCGGTGAAGACGGTGGAAAAGCCGCCCACGACGATGTTCCAGCCGTTGAACAGCGCCGTCTTGTTCGTCCACGTCAGATAGCTGCCCTTGTACCCGGCAGAAGGGTTGGTTCTCGCCGTCTCCTGGAGCAGCTCGTACATCTTGTCGATGGAGCCGATCTTGCTGCTGTGGGCGTACGTGGTGAACAGCGTGACGGCGATCACCACGTAGATGATCACCGTGTGTATCCAGTCCGACAGAAACGTCGATTTCAGTCCGCCTGTCACGGTGTACGCCCAGACACCGAGCGGGAGCAGCATGGCAGCTGCAACCACGTGCATGCCGGTGATCACGCTGAAGGCCTGGCACCCGCCGAGCAGCAGCATCGCCGAGATGATCACGTTGGTACCCATGCCGTAGAACAGACACACCCAGTGAGCCGCGCGTCCGAAACGCGCCCGCACAATCTCCAGCACCGTGTGTGCTCCCGGGGCCTTGCGCTTTATTTCCAGGGCAACCACAGAAAAAAAAGTTATCTGGATGGTGAACGCAAACGCGTACCACGCACCAGGGATGCCGTACTGATAGGTCATGCCAGAGCTAGTGAGTACGGTGCCTCGGCCAGGTCCAGGACGATACGACGGCCGAGGCGATAAGGCCGGTCTTGACGTTTCTGGAGGCAGTGGTGAAGTGCTCCGAGTCCTGCACCTCGCCGGCGTATTTTTCCAGTGCCTTGGTGATGCCGATCATGAGGGCGGCGAAAACGGCTCCCAGAGCCAGAATGTAGCAGTATCCGTAAGCCTGTTCGAGAATTGGTTGAACCATTGTAGTTTTCGAGGCACAGAGGGGCCCAATTGGGACTCTTATATAGCATCGCTGAGACGTTGGTGGCAGAGAGTAGAGCCCATCTTTTGCTCTGCCGTTCTGCCTCTGTTATCTCTCGTGCCCGCCCGCTAATCAATTCCGATCTTTCGCGAGCGGGCTATCTGAAGAGCGGATCGAGTTTCGCTGTTGTTCAGCCTTATCGATTTCCGGTTGCGGTAATTTTTTCGTATCAGATGAAGCATGATTGCTCCTGCATTGTACGCTCTGCGGCGCGAACACGGCGAGACGAGCGGCGGCTCGAGCGGCGAGACTGTGCGCCGTATAATGCGGCGACCGTCTTTGCGCAGCCTGGCAGTCGCGTGCTGCCAGAATTAAATAGCTATCTCTGCCACTGTAGCCAGGCATGAGTAGCAAATACGGTAACCTAGTGGAAACTCTCGTCACCATCGACCTGGAACGGCCAGCCTGGGAGCAGGAGGGCATGCACAACAGATGGCATCCCGACATCCCCTGCTACAAGAAAATCAAACAGAACAGGGCGTACAAAATCGAATGCTACGACTGGACAGGAGGCCAGATCGGGAACAACGACTCTGCGGACGACATCAAGTATTGCGACCTTACGAAAATCCACTATCTGTCTGGCCCGTTTGAGGTGGAAGACGCTGAGAAGGGCGACGTTCTGGTGGTGGAAATCCAGGACGTCCAGCCTCTCGAAAGACAGCCATGGGGATACTGCGGAATCTTCGCCAAGGAGAACGGAGGCGGGTTTCTGGACAAGCACTATCCCAAAGCTGCCAAGGCGGTGTTCGACTTCGAGGGCATCCACTGCTCCTCAAGACACATCGCCGGCGTCCGGTTTGCCGGCCTTGTCCATCCAGGAATCATTGGAACCGCTCCGAGCCACGAGATCCTCGCAGAGTGGACCAGGAGAGAGACAGAACTCGTGGAGTCCAACCCGGACGCCGACTTCGTGATGGCCAACCTGCCAACGGGACACGGTGCCTATGCGGGAGCTTGCGCCTCGGAACTGCAGTCCAAACTTGCATGCGGGGGAAGAACTATCCCTGGCCGTCCTGAAAACGGTGGCAACTGCGATATCAAGAACCTGTCGCGCGGGTCTAAGGTGTACCTGCCAGTTAACGTCGACGGAGCCAAGCTGAGTGTCGGAGACTTGCATTTCTCCCAAGGAGACGGCGAAATTTCGTTTTGCGGAGCGATCGAGATGTGCGGCTCCATCACGCTGAAATGCTCTGTTCTTAAAAAGGGCATGTTCAAGCTCAACATGAAAAGTCCGATGTACCTGCCTGGCCCGGTCGAGAACCACTACGGCCCGGGCAGATACCTCACGTTCGAAGGCTTTTCTGTCGACGAGGACGGCAAGCAGCTGTGTCTGGACACGACGGTGGCGTACAGACAGACGTGTCTTAGAGCAATCGAGTATCTCAGAAGATACGGCTACAACGACTATCAGGTCTATCTGCTGCTGTCCTGTGCACCAATCCAGGGCCACATTGCGGGAATCGTCGACGTGCCAAACTCGTGCACCACCATTGGCCTGCCCATGGATATTTTCGTGTTTGATATTTCTCCAGAAAAAGATGTCGTCAGACGCGATCTTGGAAACTGCGCTTTTGCCAAAGACGACCTCGAAAAGGGTTTTCCGTTGTGCGACGAGCTGCCAAACTTCCTCCTGGACAGTATCACTAAATAGCTCTTCTATCGATCGAACGTCAAGTACCAGTATGATCCTGCCCAATAACCGCCGCTTCGCTCGACCACCGCCTTTTTCGCAACCAGCCAGTCGAGAACCAGCTTCAGCTCGAACGGCTCGTACAAAGGACTAAACCGCAGACACAGCAGACGGAACGTCACGCCGGGCCTGAAAACTATGCATCGCAAAAGCGAGCACACCGTCTTGTACCAGATTTCCACGTTGAGATCCCCGTTGAGGTCGATCCAGAGACGCGAGCACGGCGACCCGCTTGGCGGAGCCACCGCCTTCAGATCTATCGCCGTGTGCATGTCGTGCAAAATAAAGTCGCTCTCGAGCTTCGTCTTGTCCTGGCTCTTGGTGGAGTAGTTGTCGATTAGCATGGGCGGGCTCTGGTCGATTCTCGTAACCTTGATTTCCGCCTGGGCCATCATATTGATCAAGGGAGCAAAACAGCTATCTGGAGACAGCGGAGACAGAATGACTCCCTTGTTGTTCAGGGTGGCCGTTTCCATCATCTCCACAAACCCGGCACATTGGTCGAAAAAGGCCCGTGTGAACTTCCAGTCAATCAGAAACATGATCTTCTCGGTCAGCGTGAACTTGATCGGCGAGTCCTCGCCCAAATAGGCAATCACCTTGTCATCCTCCAACTCCGCCAGAGCCTTTGCATAGACATCCTTTTCCGTAGAAGAAAACACCTTTTTGGCCTCCGTAGACGAGAACTTGTCTGGTCCCGTCGCAAACAGGGCCTTGAGCTTGGTCTTTGCTTCCTCAACGCCGCTCGGCTCACGACTCGGCTCCTCAGAAACTAGCGGATACGCGAACATGGCCCGAGCACACTGCTCCTCGCGCTCTATGATAGAAGTGCCTTCTTTGAAAACATCGAGTCCACGCAGATCAGTATCGGGCCGCCACCGTTGCTCCTTGAAGTTTTCCTGGTAGTTGCGGTAAAGAACCACATCGTGAGTATTTTCAAACGAGTCTGCATCCACAGACTTCCAGAGAGAAATCATCCGGCTCAGATCGTAGTCCAGCAGCTCGTCCTCGCCAATATCACCGTTCGTGATGGCTGACATCAAAATTCTCTCCCACGTCTTCCTGGACAGCTGTAAAGCCCTAATTCCAACCATTCGTTTGTGGCGAGGCCACTGTCGTCTCAAAACCTCCGAAGTGTACCTGTCCTGGAACAGAGCAGAAACCTTGGTCCAATCGATGGTGTTGGCCGGCGACAGCGATTGCGAGATGATGATTGCACGGATCAGCAGCATGACGTCCTTGCTGCTCAGACGGGTGTTGTTCCGGGCACGTTTCGTTGGCGCCGTCGAGGACGACTGCGTCTTCTGACGTGTGGAGACTTTCTTCCTCTTTCTCGATTCCATCAGCGGAGCAAGCAGGTCCTCGTCGTTGGAGGCACGCGGCCGCTTTTTCTTAGAGTCAGGTGGCCTTTCTGCCGCGCGGAGACGCGCCTCCACTCTTTTTGCGGTGTCAAGACCTTTTTTCTGGTTTGATTTGCGAAGCTGCGACAAGAGCTGAGACGGCATTTCGAAAAAGTGCGAATCGTTGGCCTTGAATACGGGCAGCGTAGGAGCCGAGCTCAGCCGAGGGTTGACCGACGCGGATTTGGAGCTGACGGAATGGGCGATGGCGTCGAGGTCGTCCTGCGACGGCTTGTTTGCCACGGAACAGAGGACTGTGTGCGTGAAGGAGCGAATGGAGCTCCGCACCTCTTTTACCGTGATCAAATTCTGTCTTTGCAGCACGGCGGCGTCTTTCTTGACAGTCCGGCGGTCAACAAGATAGTTCACGTTCAGAGCGTCAGACAATTTTTTCGTGAGCTCCATGTTGAGAGCAATGCATCTGCTCTCGTCGATAATCTGGAGCAGTACAGAACGTCGCCTGCTGGGGCCGAAATCAATATCGGCATCCAGAGCCTTGGGGATGTGCTCCTCCACCTTTGGCACAAATTTTGCAGGACTCTCAACACGGCCCTTATACTCGTCAAAGTGTCCTCCTCTAACCAGCTTTGGCTGGCCAATACGCTGTATTTTCTTCGATACAGCAATCTTCAGCGTCTCGCCAATAACCAGCTGCTTTATCTTGCTCTGTTTGGAAACGAGACTCTTCAAAACGGGCCCGGAGTAGCCAAACCAGCAAAATTTGAACGATTTGTCTGGGAAGAAAACGAGCGAAACACGTTTTGGGAACGGGTCAATGTAGTGGCCAGCGCTTATCTCTGCTATGGTCTGCGTATTCTCCTCTGTTTTTGCAAACTCCAGCGGCGCTTCGTCAACTTGCTGGCCCTGTCTTTTCAGGTACTCAGACTGGATCATGTGGCAATAGTAGCGGGCCTTGCCCTCGTGATGCAGATAGCGTATCACGGCATTCGGTTCAGGAACAGGATTGTCAAAAACGTAGGAGCCAATGTAGTTGCTAAACGACTTCACAGAGAGGCTTCCAGTGATGCATGTGTTGAGTTTCTTGGTGGAAATGCCTGGGCTGCTCTTCACAGTGTCGAAAATCTGGTTTTGCAGAGGAAAGAACGGGTTGTATGTGGGGGTGTCGTCCGTGCTGCTTTCAAAAACCGTGCCAAAAAGCTCGTCCTGGTCCTCCTCGCGATCTTGGCCCAGCGACGCCAGCTCAGACTTCAGCTCCTGGCGTGCAGCCTGTGTTTGTGGAAGCTCTTTGAGAAACTGCAGCCCCACGAACTTGCGTCCCGACGACTCGTGCTCGACGTTTATCTTACAAGCATAGCCCAGCACCACCAGGTTGCGGATCGCCTTGGCCAGCATACGGCGTTCTTTCTTCGAGGTCAGACGCAGCTCCCGTGCCAGGTCGGACGGAACACGAACACCGTTCGGGGCTTCCTGCAGAGACTTCATCACAACGCCCATGAGCTCGAAGCTGGTCCGCAGATTTGCAAATGAAAACTGCTTCTCGTACTTGGTGCTCACAATGACGTACGAGTTGGCAGAGTCGATGACTGCAGGAAACTTCTTCACCACGCCAAGGTCTTCCAGAGTCTGCAGTCGGGACGTCAGACTGCGCCGGTCCTGGCCAGACTGCCTAATGAGCTCCATGGACGTGATGCCGGCTTCCTTGGCCTTCGTAATGTAGCGCAATAATTCGTACGGAAAATAGCCCAGGTTGTTATTTTCTTTCTTGACCCCTAGCAAAAACAAAGACTGTCTGTCATCCGTGACGCCGATACGCAGCTTGTCCTCGCCATACTCGTCCACAAGGTCCACAAGACTCGTGCTCTTGTCAACCGTCTCTGTTTGGTAGGTTGTCTTGCCGCTCTTCTCCTTGCTGGTGGACGTGACAATGTACACCAGCAGGTCGTTCTCCTGCACGAGCCAGCTCCAGACAAGGGTCTTCTCAAACGCCCCAAACCGCGGGAACTTGCCCTTGATCTCCTCCCAGACCTCGGCAACGCTCAATCCCGTCTCTTCCACACAGAGACGGTCCAAAACGTCGTCCACAACCTTATCTGGGGAAGTGACAGACATGTAAATAAAAAAATATTTATTTGTGCATCTACCATTTATTGCTATCGGAAGAACAGTCGCCATTAATTATGACCGTTAATTCAGCGGACGCAGTGCCTGCCTGCCAGCTCGTCTAGCGCATTATCTACTAGAAACTGCCAGATTTGTTCAGCCAGTATTCCCGTCGAGCTGCCTTGTCCAGCTTCGACGTGCTGTGCTTTTCCTGTTCGCTGTCGCTCGCAGCGCTGTTCGAGGAAACTTCGCTTTCCCCGTCGTTCAGCCCCATCAGCTTGTCGACATCCTTCTTCTCCTCCGGCTGCTTGCTCTGGGATTTCTCGTATAACTGCTCCAGATGCTTCTCGTACTCAGACTCCGAGTCCGAGTCAGATATCATCGTGTACTGCTCGCTCGGCAGGGGCGGCAGCGACGCCGCGCGACTGGACTCTCCGCTCACAAACGCAAGTGCCTCGTTCTGCACAAGCTCACGGGCGTCCTCAAAATCTCTCTGTTTTCCCTTGTACTTGATAATGTCTCCCAGAACAGACTGTCCCAGTCTTTCTTTGTATGTGGCCTGGTTCATCTCGTAGCACTTGTTCACCAGAAGCTCAAAAGCTCCCCCGAACGCACGCTTGATATCCCGCAGATTGAAGGTGCCGCGCGAGATGTTGTTGCCCGGATCGTGCGGGTCCTGGATAGCCAAAGTGAACGGGTTTCTATTCTGAAATGCTGGGTTCGAGTCCTTCGGAACGTAGTACGGGTCTCCGTCCTCATCAAACGCGATCGCTGTGTTGTCGTAGCCGAAATTGTAGCCGTACAACTCGAAGAACTCGATAAGAAGCACACCCAGATTTTCAAGCGGGTCTATAGATTTGGTGGCCACCCTCGGATGCAGTTTCAGAAAAGACCTCACCAGACATATCGTCGCAAAGCCACCAAGACCGCCAGTGTGCACAACGTTCAGTTTCCGCACAGATAAAAACTGTTTCACGATCAGCACGAGCTCGCGCAGACCGGGAGTGTCTTTGAGCCATGAAATGATGAGTTCTGCCGCTCTGATGCCGTTGGTCCGCTCAAAGGAGATGTCAATGTGGATCTTCGTGGCAGGGTCCACAAACTTGATGATGGGCACCTTCGCCTTGGCAATGGCCTCCACATTCACTCCCAGCTTGTGGTTTCGTATGTACGACGAGAGCTGGTACAGAGACGATCGGTTGTCGTACTTGTTGTTGCGGGCCTTGGAGACCACCACCATGTCGATATCGGAGCCAGGAAGATACAGGTCAGTGGCAAAAGACCCGAAACAGTGCACCTCCGCGTCGGGCCACATTCCCGTGATGCAGTCTCGGAGTTTTCCCACGGTGTTATTACGGGCCTTGATTTCCTCCGCGGACGGAGAAATGTACTTGATGAAATCCTTGATCTCCATTGTCAGCCAGTCGCTGATCTCTATTTGTCGCGAGTGGTCATTATTGCGGATCCACGGATATTTGGGATTGAAATTCCCGGCCTTGTACTCGGCCGACTTTGTATGGTACACGGTTTCGTCATTGCTCAGGTACTCGTTCTCGCTATCGGAGATTTTCGGCGACCCCTGCTGGTCGAACTCCTCGTTTTCGTCTCCTGACGACGTCTCAAATCCGATGAAGTCCTGGTTCTCCAGCACGGCATCTCCAGGAGCAGAGTCTGCTGAGTTTTCTTGTTTGAGCGGTTTCTGTTTTTTGGCTGGAGGCTCCTCGTTTTCGCTATCGCTGGGCGACGATACCATTACCAAATCGTCGCCGGCGTCGTCTAGCTTCTCGTACGAGTTTTCGGCCCGCACAAAGAGCGCTTTCGAAGGCCCCAGTTTTCGCTTGGACATGTATCTAAATTTTTTTTTTTTTTTTGAGAAAAAATATGGGGGCTACGACTCCCTAGAGGAGCGATGAGCAGAGCCGCACGGGCGAATGCGCCTGGAGCTGAGCGCCTAGTCACTGGGCGGCACAGTAAACGCCATTGCAAAGAGGAGTCGGCACTTCTATTGCCAAAATCCGCAAAACGTCTCATCCATCCAGCCCATTTGGGACTGCTAGATAATTAGTTTGTATTTTCCATAAATTATTTTTTATTTCAGTGGCAAACATGGCGGACAGATACTCGTTTTCGTTGACCACGTTTTCGCCAAGGTAAGTTGCACCGGCCGGAACACTAACACTTCAGCGGAAAGCTAAAGCAAATTGAGCACGCCCTGGCGGCAGTCAAGCAGGGAGTCACGTCTCTAGGCATCAAGGCCACGAACGGCATTGTGCTGGCCACAGAGCGCAAATCGACGTCTGTGCTGGTCCAGGCGGACTTTGTCGACAAGATCGTGCAAGTCACGCCGGACATCGGCATGACGTACGCGGGAATGGGTCCCGATTTCAGAGTTCTCACAGACAAGTCCAGAAAAGTGTCGCACACAAACTACAAGAGAGTATACAACGAATACCCACCGACCAAGATCCTGGTGTCTGAGGTGGCGAAGGTCATGCAGGACGCGACCCAGAGCGCTGGAGTGCGTCCCTACGGCGTCTCGCTGCTGCTGGGGGGCTACGACGACAACAGCGGGTTCATGCTGTACCAGGTGGATCCGTCGGGGTCGTACTTCCCGTGGAAGGCCACGGCCATTGGCAAGGGCTCGAACGCGGCCAAGACGTTTCTGGAGAAACGGTGGAACGAGGAGCTGGAGCTCGAGGACGCCATCCACATTGCGCTGCTGACACTCAAGGAGAGCATCGAGGGCGAGATGAACGGCGACACCGTCGAGATCGCCGTGATCGGCGCGGAGAACGACGACCAGCTCGGTTTCCGGGGCGCCGCCGGAGTGCACGGCCCCAGATTCAGAAAGCTGTCGCCAAAGGAGATCAACGATAGATTGGAAACTCTGTAGTGAAAAATGTGTGGCCAGTAATTTTCGAGCTTTATTTTTATTTTCTTTGTGATGTCGAGATACGCCCAAGCGTTTATAGATTTTGTCAACGCGTCGCCAACTCCGTACCACGTGGTCGACACTGTGAAGAAGAAGCTCCAGCAGGCCGGCTTTGAGGAGCTGTCTGAGCGCAACAATTGGGACAGAACAATCGAGAGGGGATCTAAGTACTATGTGACCAGAAACGGCTCCTCAATTATTGCCTTTACGGTGGGAGGCGCATACCAGCCCGGAAACGGTGTTTCCATCGTTGGGGGGCACACGGACTCGCCAGTTCTGCGCATCAAGCCGATTTCCGACCAGAGAAAAGAGGGCTACATCCAAGTCGGCGTTGAAACGTACGGCGGAGGAATTTGGCACACCTGGTTCGACAGAGACCTGAGCGTGGCAGGCCGCGTTTTTGTGAACGAGAACGGCAAGTACGTGCCGAAGCTGGTCAAGATCCGCAAGCCGATCTTGAGAATACCCACTCTCGCTATCCATCTCACCAAGGAGAGATACACCAAGTTCGAGTTCAACAAGGAGACACAGTTCAAGCCGATCGCGGGCCAGTGCCAGGAACAACCCAAGGACGAGGCTGGCTGTTGCGGAGGCGAGCCGCTCAGCGAGGACGAATACCAGTCGCTAAAGAGCGTCGTCCAGAGACACAGCAAGGAGCTGCTCGATCTAATTGCGGCAGAGCTGTCTGTGGACGTGGCGCAGATCGAGGACTTTGAGCTGATACTCTACGACACGCAGCAGTCGACGATCGGCGGTCTCAACGACGAGTTCATCTTCAGCCCGCGGCTCGATAACCAGGTCACGTGCTACTGTGCTGCCCAGGGGCTCATCAACTCTGTCGAGGGTCTGGGTAGCCAGGAGGGAATTCAGATGATCTCGCTGTTCGACCACGAGGAGATCGGCTCGTTGTCGGCCCAGGGCGCCGACTCGTCGTTCTTGCCCAACGTCCTGGAGAGGCTGACGCGACTGACGGGCCTGACAGGCGACAAGAACGACCACTCGTCGTGTTTCCTGGAGACGATGGCGAAGTCGTTCATTCTGTCCTCGGACATGGCCCACGGCGTGCACCCTAACTACACAGAGAACTACGAGAGTCTCAACAAGCCGCAGCTCAACAGGGGCCCGGTGATCAAGATCAACGCCAACCAGCGGTATGTCACGAACTCGCCGGGAATTGTGCTGCTGAAGAAGGTTGCCGACCTCGCGAAGGTGCCGCTGCAGCTGTTTGTCGTGAGAAATGACTCTCCGTGCGGATCGACGATCGGCCCGATGGTGAGTGCCAAGCTTGGAGTGCGCACGCTCGACCTCGGCAATCCGCAGCTGAGTATGCATTCGATCCGTGAGACGTGCGGCTCGCACGACATCGCGAAGCTCGTGCTTCTGTTTGAGAGCTTTTTCGAGCACTTCTACCACCTCGAGCAGAGAATAGAGGTGAACTAAGTAGAGAGAATAAGGCAGGACGGACCGGAAACTTGTAATTTTTTTCTGGCGGAAACAGGCGAGTAATCTCAGGTGTCCAATATTTCCGGTTTAGCCTCTGTTTCAAATATTATGAAAACCAGTGTACTTGTTGTGCAGCTGGCGTGGGCGGCGCTGTGTTTGGCGAAAAACACGTTTCCGGCACTCATCGCGTCCAGCAAGCTGATACCCGGCCTCAGGCCGGCGCTGCCCCACAGCGAGCAGCTGCCGTTTGATCTGGGCGAGGCCACGTCTACCATCTACCGCGTGCTGGAACAGTGCACGTCGGACGCCTACATACTGATCAACCTGCCCGGACTGCGCGTAGACGACTTCCAGCACTTTGAGCGGTTCAGACACCTGCGGGAACAGCTGTCGCAGGCCAGCACGGTGGTGACCTTTCCGAATGTGCTTGTGGACGACGAGAGACTGGCAATGGACGATTTTGTGCGGTATCTGCGCATCCACTGCAACACCATCACCTACGACGTGCTGCACGAAGACGCGGCCGAGGTGCCGAAGTACCTGGACACCCGGGCCCGGACGATCCACGTCCAGCTGGGCGGTCTGACCGACGAGATGGGCGAGACCGAGCGCCTGGAAAAACTCGACGAGTACAACGAGCTGCTGCGCGAGATCATGCGCAAGCTGCCCACGCCGCGGCACACCATCCTCCTTGCGACCAACACAGCTATTCCGTACGAGGAAAAGGAGTACAAGGTGATCTATCCCGAAGACGTTCCCGAGGACCCTAAGGACCTGACTGTGAGGGATAGACGTCTTGCAAAAACCGCCTCGAACATGATTTTCCCGGACATCACCGTCTTCGACAAGACGCGGTACCTGGAGATCGAGCGCAACAACCACGGCGAGCGCGGCGACTACGGCTCGCATCCCGACGGGCTTTGGGCCAAAGACGCCTTGGAGGAGGACGACACGTGGCTGGCCAAGAAGACCAAGACGATCAAGAAGGAGAAGTCGCTCTACCGCTTCAGCGAGGACCAGAGCGAGTCGCCTGCGGTGTTCGACCGCGAGTTTCTGATCGACAACGGGCCGGTGATCGTCGGGGGGCTGTTTGCGGTGGCGACGCTGTTTGCGCTGGACATTCTGCGCGGCATAGTGCGCCAGGTGGCGGGGCTGGTCCGGGGGAAGAAACTAAAGAGGGAGTGACGGGAGAAAATACATAGGAATTTTAGTGAATGGGCAGGAAAAATAAAATAAATAAATATTCGCACTAGATCTTGTTTTTCCACAATTCTTCCATGTTTTTGCGACAGATCCGCCGGTACTCGGTGCAGATCGCGGCGGAAATCGCCAATTGCGTGCGCGAGGGCGGCCCCGTGGTCGCTCTGGAGAGCACGATCATCACGCACGGCCTGCCGTATCCCGCGAACCTCGAGATGGCCCAGAGCGTGGAGCAGCTCGTTCGAGCCCACGGCGCGGTTCCGGCGACTGTGGGGTTTGTGAACGGCGTGCCGAAGGTGGGGCTGTCCCAGGGCGAGCTCGAGGCCATGGCCCGGCCGGGCAACAAGCACAAGGTCTCCCGCAGAGACATCCCGTACGTGATGGCTCGGCAGCTGACCGGCGGGACGACAATCGCTGCGTCGATGATCCTTGCCCATCGCGCGGGCATCGACGTGTTTGCGACGGGCGGGCTGGGCGGCGTGTCGCGGCCGTTTGAGCTGATGGACGTGAGCGCAGATCTGGACGAGCTTTCCAAGACACCGGTTGCAGTGGTCTGTTCCGGGCCCAAGTCCATTCTGGACGTTGCGCGCACGATGGAGTATCTCGAGACGAAGGGCGTGCCCGTGGCCACGCTGGCAGACGGCGCGAAGACCGCCAACGTGCCAGGATTCTACACTAGAGACTCCGGCGTGGCCTCTCCGTTTGTTCTGGAGACCACGCTGGAGGCCGCGCGGCTGGTGCACAGCGGCAAGGACGCGATGCGGCTGGAGAACGGCTACGTTTTCTGCGTGCCGCCGCCCGCGCAGATCGCGCTGCCGGCAGACTACATCAACGCGGTCATTGCGCAGACACAGCAGGAGGCGGAGGAACTAGGCATCTCGGGCAAGCAGCTGACGCCGTTCATGCTCGGGCGCATCAACGAGAAGACGGACGGGCTGAGCGTGAAGTGCAACGTCGAGTTTGTGCGCAACAACGCCGTCGTGGGGGCGCAAATCGCCGCAGAGCTCGCGCAGCTGCGCAACTCTTTTCAGCCGGCACAGCAGCCTGTTCGGAGCGCGGCCGCAAACCCTGCCAGAGCGGTCGTCGTCGGGTCTGTCGCGCTGGACTCCGCCAGCACGGTCGGCGCCGTCCGTCTTCACGACTCGTGTCCCGGCACAACAGAGCACTCTGTTGGCGGCGTCGGGTTCAACGTGGCTCTTGCGGCCGCGGCCGTCGGCGGCCCCCAGAACGTGGCGCTGGTCGCGGGCCTGAACCAGGCAGACGTGGCCGGCAGAACCGTCATGGCAGCGTTTGCCGAACGCGGCCTCAGAACAGACGGGCTCGTCGACCTTGCGGGCCGCACCGCGCAGTACACGTCTGTCCACGACCACCGCGGCGAGCTCGTCATTGCGTGCGCGGACATGGCGATCGCCGAGCAGCTTGCGCCGCAGCAGGTCGTGGCGAAGCTCGAGCAGCTGGGCCCGAACTACGTGCTCATGGACACCAACGTGTCGGAGGCGGTGATGGACGCGGTTTTTGACAGCTGCAACGGCGCCACGCGGCTGATCATCGAGCCCACCAGCGGCGCAAAGGCGCGCAAGCTCGCAAACACCGCAAAGCTCGGCTGTTTCCCGGAGAATAGAGTCCATCTGATCACTCCCACGGTTTTGGAGCTGGAATCGCTATACGACGCTTTCTCCGCTGCCGGCCGGCTCGAGGCGGTCTCGTCGTGGTTCAACGTGCTGGACTCGCTCAACATCAACTCTGCGCTGCGCAACAAGCTCGAAAAACAGCCAACGGCCAGGGCATACCTCGAGAAAGGCGTGCTCCAGCAGGCGTTCCAGCTGCTACCATACTTCCCAGCTATTCTGGTGAAGGACGGCCGCAACGGCGTGGTGCTGGTGGAGATTGTGGGGTCTGAGACGGCCGAGGGCTCGCATTCCGCTGCGTTCAGCGTGCTCCACCGCGGCCGCAACGGACTCGGCGTGCTCGTGAGCCACTACCCTGCGCCTAAAATAGAGCCAACGACGATAAAGAACGTCACCGGCGCGGGCGACAGCCTGGCAGGCTTCCTGCTGGCGAAGCTCGCACAGACGCGCGGGCTCCCTTTCGCAGCAGAGCGCGACGCTCTCGTGCACGGCGCCCAGCAGGCCGCCGCCGCCAGCCTGCAGACCAGCCGGGCGGTGAACTACGCGGCTCTCGCGCGAGCCCCGATTACGTAAGCACAGAAAGTAGTCGCAGTAAACATTTGATATTTTCGCTGGCAGAAAACCAGAGCCAAATGAGCATTCCCGAAGGCCGTGCAGAGACGCTGACGAGCGAGCAGGCGCAGGTGCTGAAGACCATCTGGAGGCACTATCTCCAGGCGAACGGGTACACGGTGGGCGACGAGACGGCGAAGCGCAGCAGGCACAACACGCTGAGCTCGGTGAAGTCGAGCGAGAGCGCCAAGAAAGGCCGGAAAAAGGGCCTTTTGGGGCGGTTTCGCCGCGGGCACAGCAGCAAAAAGGCCGAGCAGGAGCTCGGCGCCCATTTGAGCCACGATCTGGGCACGAAAGTGCACGAGGCGTTCCGGCCGCTGGACGCAGAGACGCGCAACGCGTTCTGGGACTTTCTGCGGCACGACACGCCGGACAACCTGCTGCTGCGGTTTGTGCGTGCGCGGAAGTGGGACGTGGACAAGTCTCTGGCTATGATTGCCAACACGATGGACTGGCGCAGGAACCAGTTCGACGTGGAGCGGGTGTTCCGCGAGGGCGAGCTGGGGATGCTGGAGGCGGGCAAGCAGGGCGTCCTGAAGCAGTTTGCGACGGGCAAGTGTGTGATCCGGGGCCAGGACAAAACGGGCCGGCCGATCGTGATTATTCGGCCGCGCTACCACTTCCCGAGCGACCAGACGGACGAGGAGGTCGAGCTGTTCACGATTTTGATCATCGAGTACGCGAGGCTGCTGATCAACGAGCCCATCGACTCGTGCTCGCTGATTTTCGACCTGACCGGGTTCAGCATGAGCAACATGGACTACACCTCGGTCAAGTTCATAATCAAGGCGTTCGAGGCGCACTACCCGGAGTCCTTGGGCGTGCTGTTCATCCACAGTGCTCCGTGGATCTTTGGAGGCATCTGGAATATCGTCAAGAACTGGCTGGACCCGGTGGTTGCGTCTAAAATCCAGTTCACGAAGAAAACAGAGGACCTGTTTGCCGTCATTGACAGGGCGCACGTTCCAAAGGACCTGGGCGGCGACGACGACTTCGAATGGAAGTATCTGGAGCCGACGAAAGAGGCCAACGGCAAGCTGCACACGGACCAGAAAGAGAAAGAGGAGCTAGAGCACGAAAGACACGAGCTGGTGGAGCAGTTCATTAATAAAACCATCGAGTGGATCGAGTGCACCGACAAGGACAGAGACCGCCACCTCATGGCCGACAGACTGGCCTTGGGCAGACAGCTGTCGGATAACTACAAGAAACTGGACGGCTACATCCGCAACCGCGGAATATACGACCGTCTGGGCTACATAAAGTTTGAGTGATGGATATAAATTTTGCGAAGGCAGTTTACCAATGCGCAGAGCCGTCGCCGGCGCCCTTGGTCCACTGGCCGGCCAGGCCGACCGTTTCGGGCGACGAGGACGGCGCCGGCTTCTCCTTGTAGCTCAGTAATCTTCGTCCCCAGTTGCCCGCAGCAGCGTTGCCGGTCTCGTCTCTGCACTGCTTGAGGAACGGCAGCAGGGCGGTGCCTCCTGTTCCACGAATGTCTTTTTTTGGCGTCTTGGCCTTTGCAAGGCCAGCGCGCAGCGTGCTGGTGGCCTGGGAGCCCATGCTGCGCGCTTTCTGCGACTGGATCACGATGTAGCGCGTCACGATCTGGATATGCTTGTCTCTGAAACACTTGAGCATCGCCACACACGCGTCGTACGACAGGACAAGCTCAGAGTTCTCGTGCGCGTGCTTGGCCACGTAGTCGCTCAGAATGTTGATCTTGCCGAGATGGGCCAGGAAGTCGGCGTGCTTGCCCGGCATGTACCGTCTCATGTCTGCCATGAAGACGTTCTCGCCTGCCGAGGGAGTCTGCTCGCCCGTGGACAGGTGCTCGACGTTGAGCAGCAGGTCGAGCGCCTGGATCAGCGACGACTGCGCGTTCGAGCCGCCGCTGTACTCGCGCGGAACAGTCTCGTTGCCGTAGTAGACGCCGTTCTCGAGCCCGGCGTCCTTCATGTTTTTCCAGCCTGCCAGGTACGGCCGCAGGCGGAAGTAGAACACGTGCGGGTCGCACATCTCCTCCATGCGCATCAGCACCGAGCCGAGATAGTCGATCTGCTCGGCGAGCCGCTGCAGACACTGCACGACGCGGTCCGACGAGCCCTCTCTGGCGTGTTTGATGGCGTCCAGACCTGTCGTCAAACAGGAGGCGCCCTTGTACTCGAAATAGACACTCACCAGGTAGAACCAGCTCTCGTCGAAGGACCCGGTGAACGTGGAGATGGTCTGTATGTTGTCGAGGAAATCGGCGTCGGAGTCAGGCAGAAGGTAGCAGAAGTTCCACAGACACAGCCCCGCGTACGTGGCGACGGGCGGCAGGCGCAGGTGCTCGGAAACGGCGATCCACGGCTGCGCTAGTTGTTCGGGAAGACGGTTTGTGGGCTCGGCGACTCCCCAGATGTATGCGTGGGCAAGAAAGCCCAGGACCGAGTACGCCCGCCGGAACTCGGCCTCGGAGTGCAGCTGCGACGTCGACAGCAGTGGCAGGGCGTCCACGACGGCGCGAATCCGCTTTGTCAACAGCAGGCCCGGCAAGGCCCGCACGAGTCGTTCCCACGGCTCGTAGTAGGGACCCAACGACTCCAGCGGCATCTCCTCGGGCAGGAAGCCTGTCTTTGCGGAAACGTCGTACTGGGCCAGGTCCGGCAATGGATAAGTGTAGGACATAGAAGAGCAGAGAAAAGGACAAAAAAGGTTTTTCTCCCTATTTTTTTTACCACCTCCAGTTTCCTTTTGGAGGAGTCAGCCGATTTCTGCAATTGTGACAAACAGCCCCTAAAATGCGAATGCGGCACGCAGTAGACGCTCTGAGAGTCCAGGCCCTCCAGCGCACTGAGACCCATAGCCAGATAGCCCGATCGCGCTGCCTCCCCTTTTCGGCCCACTTTTCCTCGACCCCGCCACCGTTTTGGCCGCTTATGTCAGCCCCAAACAAATATTTTTTTATTTATCATGACGTCCGACTCAGAAACAGCGGCGGCCAACCCGGCGGAGGCGCTCCGGCTGATTCCGCCAGAGCCCACGGCGGACGAGCAGTTCAGTCTCGCGCAGGTTGCGGCCGGGTGCAAGGTGTATGCTCTCAAGGACGGCGAGTGGCGGCTGGCAGAGATTCTCGCCCTCCAGCGCAAGAAGGGCAAGCCCGTGTACTACGTGCACTATGTGGAGTTCAACAAGCGACTGGACGAGTGGATCGACGAGACGAAAATCGACACGCACCGGCCGATGTATCCTCCGAAGCCGCAGAAGGACAAGAAGGACAAGAAACAGACGCGCAAGAAGGCCGTCAAGAAGACGGCGCCCAAGTCCGAGACTCCAGAGCCGCAGCGCGCCACGAGCGAGCCCAACGAGGACGAGATGGACCTGGACAACCTGAATGTGCAGGGGCTGGTGAAGGAGGGCGAGGAGCTGAGCCGTGAGGACGAGATCGAGCGGCTGCGGACGAGCGGGTCGATGGCCCAGACGTCGACGAGCGAGCTGGCGAAAATCAGGAACTTCAGCAAGGTGATCATCGGCAACCACGAGGTGGAGCCGTGGTACTTTTCGCCGTACCCGGTCGAGCTCACCGAGGAGGAGTGTCTGTATATCTGCGACTTTTCGCTATGCTACTTTGGGTCGCGCAAACAGTTCGAGCGGTTCCGCGCAAAGTGCACCCTGAGCCACCCGCCAGGAAACGAGATCTACCGCGACGACTACGTGTCGTTTTTCGAGATCGACGGCCGCAAACAGCGCACGTGGTGCCGGAACCTGTGTTTGCTGTCGAAACTGTTTCTGGACCACAAGACGCTCTACTACGACGTCGACCCGTTCCTGTTCTACTGCATGACCAGGAGAGACGAAAAGGGCCACCATTTGGTGGGATACTTCTCGAAAGAGAAGGAGAGCGCGGACAATTACAACGTCGCGTGCATTCTGACACTGCCGCAGTACCAGAGACACGGATACGGTAAACTGCTTATCCAGTTCTCGTACGAGCTGTCGAAAATCGAGGGCAAGGTCGGCTCGCCCGAGAAGCCGCTTTCTGACCTGGGTCTGCTGTCCTACAGAGCGTACTGGGCAGAAACCATCTGTGCTCTGCTGGTGGAAAACGGAACGACCGACATCAGCATCGACGAGATTTCGCAGCTCACGTCCATGACAACGACAGACATCCTGCACACGCTCCAGACGCTCAACATGCTGCGGTACTACAAGGGCCAGCATATCATCGTGCTCACCAACCAGATCCTTGAAAACTATGAAAAATTGCAGCGCAAAAAGAGGCACAAGCTGGACCCGTCGAAACTGGTCTGGAAACCGCCCGTGTTCACGGCGTCGCAGCTGCGGTTCGGGTGGTGATCAGTCCCACGGGACCGTGTGTTTCGACAGGGCGCTCGCGGCCGCCGCGCTCGGGATTTTGATTCCGCAGCAGTCGCCCCACGTCGAGTGGTCGTGGCCCGCGTGCTCGTCGTCGTTGTCTGCGTGTTCCGAAACGCCCTCGGGACACCTCAGAATGCTGCCAAAAAGGAAATGCTGCACCACGGGCAGTTTGCCCAGCACCTCTGCCTTGTACATCTTTATCATGCCCTCCTCGATCTTCGCCCACGACTTCACACCACTGATATCGTCCAGCATTGGCGAGTGCCATCTGAGCGACTCTGCGCCGGTTTTCACTTGGTTTATAAACGCAATGCACCCAAAGTATAGGTATTTGTCCTTGAACTCGTCGACGTAGTCTTTTTGGTGGATCGAAAGCGGCCGTGGCCGCGAGAACGGCGCCAGCTGCGCGGCGCCAAACAGAAACGGCAAAAAATGGTAGTCGTCCAGCCCCCACACGCCGTGCGACCCTGCCGGCTCGAGCCAGTAGAGCAGTTGCAAACGGCGCATCAGGCGGAGGTACCTGTTGAATATGCGAAGAACGAGCCATTTGAAATCTGCGGGCTGGAAAAAGCCCAGTTTGTAGAGACACAGGAGAAAACACGCAAAGTTGAGCTCGTGCCCAGAGCCGTAGTCGATCCGGGTGCGGTCGCCAAACGAGTGCATAAGATAGCACCCGAGCTCCTCCGCGTGCTCCTCGCCGACACAGCCTTGGACGAGGCCGGTGACCTTGGTGGCCAGCTCGTCGTAGAAATCGCGGAACTCGGGCTTGCCAAACCGGCTGCTCGTATCCTTGACGACGGGGTGGCTGTCGACAATGCCGTTAATTTGCTCCAGCAGCTCCAGCACCTTGCCTATGTTGTCGCCCAAAGAGTCGTCCGTGTACCCCAGTTCCAGGCCGTGCACAGACGTGGCCAGGTCCACGACAAAGCGCACCATCTCGCTGTACACGGCGCTGTCCTGGAACTTGGCCAGATCCTCGGGCGTTTTCAGCCGTTTCGCGGGCACAACCATATTATTGGCAAATTAATTTACTTGTTTCTCCTTCTCGGGCTGTGCTGATTCGCGACTATCTGCTGGCGCAGGTGCCTGAGCGCGCGGACCTGGTTTTTGGTGAGCACCATTTTCAAAAACGCTTTTGTGCTGGCGCGGAGCCAGCTATTTGTGCTCTGCGCCTTTTGTAGTTCGCTGACTTGCAGCTGTAGTCTCTGGATGTGCGCGCTGCTCTCGCGCAGTTTGAGCCCAAGCTCCTGCTGGAGCCGGCCAACGCTGAGCTCGAGCGACCGGTCCTGCAGCGCGCGGTTGTGCTGTCTGCGCATCTGTCCCAGCTTCAGACCGCTGATCTCGGCCTCCATGTCCTCCAGCCGGAGCTCCAGCGCGGACACCTCCTGCCTCGCTATCTCGGACGGGTCCACGTTCACGGCCCAGACCACCGCAAACGGCAGCAGGAAATACAAAAACCGCGTCTCGTTGCACACCAGCGCGCTCACCACCAGGACGAGCATAATTATGTGCACAATGCTCAGCCTGACGGCGCCGAACACAAAGCCGACCTTGGCGAAAACGAGCCCGATCTTCTCGCCAAACCGCTGCGGGTCCAGCGGCAGGCTGCTATAGTACAAGTATGCCAGACTGCCGGTAGCGCACAAAACAAGGAGGTTGGCGCTGAAGGGGCTGCTCAGAGAAACCCGGAGGTGGCTCTTGAGCGCGAACGAGATCAGAACTGACGTGAGCAGTAGCAGGAGATTCAGCGCGGTGCGGTCCTGCCGGCGCAGCCGGCGCGCGCGCACGGCACCCTCGTCCACACTGCTGCTGAGCGACATGGGACAGAAGCGTTGCGGGAGGTGCCCCAAAGAGGAGGCAGAACAAGGTCACGTGACCACTTGCCTGGGCTGGCGTGCCCTCGCCGTATAATGAAAAATTTTGTAGGCAAATTTATTATTATTCAAGATGGTTTTAGTTCAGGACCTGCTGCACCCAAGTGCCGCCTCTGAGGCCAAGAAGCACAAGCTCAAGACCCTCGTGCAAGAGCCAAGATCATTTTTCATGGACGTGAAGTGTCCAGGATGTTTGCAAATCACCACCGTGTTCTCCCACGCCCAAACTGCCGTGACCTGTGATTCGTGCACCACTGTTCTGTGTACGCCAACGGGAGGTAAGGCCAAGCTCTCTGAGGGATGTGCATTCAGAAGAAAGTAAGCAAAGCATAATAATCAGGGGGAGATGCGGATATCTATAGCTTGAAGCAATGGAATACGATTAAGAGCGTGGCGGCCGCAGTGCGCTGGCGAGTCGCGTCCAGCGACAGCATGCGCGCGCGGTAGTGCCCAGCGGTAGCGTAGTGTAGGACTGCGTAGTTGCTCGGCCTGTGCTTACGTAAGACAAAGTATCAGATCGAGAGAGCCGAGAAGCGTGTATGGAGGGGTTAGATGAGGTGCGCCTGTGAGAGCCCCATGCGGGAGGCGGCGAATGCGCGTGTTTTGTGGGATTTTCGTACACGCTCTCCTAGAGTCACCCCCACGCTAGGCGGTCTCGTAAATTTTCCTCTCGCGAAATCGACCGATCAAGTTATGGCTGACAAATTTGTCGTTCTGGACAACCCGTCTTCCCTCGCCCCCGTGGCGACACCGCGCGTGCTCACCGTGGCCGGGTCGGACCCAAGCGGAGGCGCAGGCATCGAGGCCGACCTCAAGACGATAACCAGTTATGGCTGTCATGGCCTCACGTGCGTCGATGTGCTCACCGTGCAGAACACTTTGGGAGTTTCTGGCAAGCTGGAGACGGCAGCAACGGTTGTGCAAGACATTTTGCAGGCCGATTTTGCAGACGGCGGAATCCATTGCGTCAAAATCGGAGTTGTGACCAGACCGGGGCTCACCGCGATAGTGCCCCTTCTGGAGACCTTCCGGCCGCAGTTGGTGGTCGACACAGTTATAAGCTCAACGTCCGGCTTCACCATGGCGAAACAGACGCTCGTGAGGGACTGCATCGCGCAGCTCTACCGCTATGCCACGGTTATCACGCCGAACTGGGACGAGGCGAAAATTATCTACGGTCTGCTTTTTCCGGACAGCTCTGTGGGGGAACCCTCGATAGCCGGATGCGAGGATCTGGCACGCAAGCTTGCAAGCGCCATTGGATGTCGCGCAGTGCTGATAAAGGGAGGCCATGTTCCAGCACAGGAGGCCGTCACAGACGTGCTGTACGACCGTCTGCGCGACGATGCGGTGCACTACAAACATCCTAAAATTGTTAATGCAAAAAATACACACGGGACCGGGTGCACGTTGAGCTCGGCGATCGCGAGCGGGCTCGCGTGCGGCCTGGATCTGCACACGGCCGTCGAAAACGCCATTGTGTATGTCCACGACGCGATCAGGCTCGCCGACTCGACGATCGGCGCGGGCAACGGTCCGCTAAATCACGTCTATAGAATGCCATCATGCTAATTATGTCTCTTTGGAAGCTTGTTCAGCGTGTTTTTCAGAATTTCCTTGGTCTTGTACAGGTTGGTGACACGGATGCGCTCGTTGTTGAGATGCGCGTTGTCGCTGGCTTGGCCCGTGGGCAGGTGCACGGCCTCGCAGCCAAACGTTTTTTCCAAGAACCTGATCGAAGGGATCGAGCCGCCCTCTCTGATGAGCAGTGGCTCGACCCCCCACTCTTGTTCGATATTCTTGAGCAGAATCTTGTTGGCGGCGTTGTTGACGTCGGCGAGCCACGGCTCTGCCTCGTGGATCACGCGCACGGTGAGGTGGTTTTCCGTGTGCAGGAGCGCAAACTTCTCCTCCAAATAGCTGATCAGCGAGCTCTTTATCTGCTCCAGGTCCTGGTCCGGCACTATGCGAATAGACAGCGACGCGGACGCCGTTTGCGGGATCACGGTCGAGTTGTTCGGCCCGGACACGCTCACGTTGTGGATCGTGAGAGACGGCATCCGCCACTTGGCCATGAGCTCGTCGCTGCGCAGCTTGCTGATCTTGCTGGTGATCTTCTCGTACGACGCAAGCTCGTTCTGGGTCACCTTCCTGACCGGCGTGTAGAAGTCGGGCAAGTTTACCTTGCCGTCGTCGGCGTTGAGTTTGGAGAGCAGGTTGATCAGGTCGATCGTCGGCTCGCGCGAGATGCCGCCGTCCACGCCAGAGTGTCTGTCCGGCTTGTCGGAGCGCACCTCCACGGTGGCAGAAATAACCCCACGCAACCCATAGTTGAGGCAGGGCACCGTGTCGTCGAGCCAGTACGAGTTGCTCAGGAAAACCCAGTCAATCTCGCCGAACAGCGGCCGGTTCTCCTGCACCACCGCCTGGAACCCAAACGAGCCGGACTCCTCCTCTCCCTCCAGCAGAAACACCACGTCTGCCTCCAGCTCCTGTTTCTGGTACAGCTCTGCCACCGCGTACATCGCCGCCAGCAGCGGGCCCTTGTTGTCGCTGACGCCCCGCGCGTACAGGTAGCCGTTCTGGGCGGTCAGGTGGAACGGCTCCGTGCTCCAGGAGTCGGTGCTGCTCACGTCGATCACGTCGTAATGGCCGTACCACAGAATTCGAACAGGTTTTGCGGGTGGCCGATTCGCCTTGAACAGCGCATACACCACCGGGTTGGCGTCCGGCACAGGCAGCAGCGACACGTGCGACGCGCCAAGGTTGCGCAGCAGCGTGCGCAGGAAGTTTGCGCACCGCCGCGACTGGTCGATGTACAGCGCCGGCATCTTCGACACGGTTCTGTACTCGACGAGCTTGGCGAGCACCTCGAGCATGCGGTCTGTCGACGTCAGGTCGACGGGCCGCTGCTCGTCCTCGGCCTTATCGAGCGCAGAGATGTCCCACAACGCGACCGAGTGGTCTGTGCCTGCCGTGATGAGGTACGGGTGGTTGTTCAGCTTCGCCACCTTGACGGCGTGGCAGCAGCCGTTGTGGTCGATCCAGTTCGACCGGACCTCGCCGCGCGACTTCCACTTGGTCACCCCCGCGTTCGTGCCCTTGAAAAGACAGTCTCCGTACACCGCCAGCGACACAATGTCTCCCTCCTCGCTCTCGTACGACTTGATCTGTTGCAACGTGGACAAATCCCACACGTTGACGTGGCCGTGCGCAAGCCCGCAGTAGAGGTACGTGCTGCCCTTGTTGCGAGCAAACGACAGCACGGACTCCTGGTTTTCCAGCGACCGCAGCAGCTCAATTCCCGATTTCAGGCCCCAGATGTTGACCACGCCGTCGCCGCCGCCGGTGATGAGAAATTCCGTGTAGTCGCCGTGCTCCGCGATCCCGTCCTGAAGCGTGAACATCTCCATGCAGTATATGTAGCCGTTGTGGGCGTAGGGGATGATGTTGTGCGACGGCACCTCGATCAACGTGCCGAGCCCCTGCTGGTTCGTCGCGGCGGCCTGCGCGGACGTCGAGCGGCCGGCCGAGTCGAAGAACTTGTCGTATCGCCGGAACGGCATCTGGTGCGGGTCTCGCGCGTGCGACTCCAGGCCTATCTGGACATACGACAGGGAGGCGTTCTGTGCGCCAAACATGACCGTTTTGCGCGACTCGGACCACGCAATGGAGAAGATGTCCCCCACATCAATCAGCGAGTACACCGTGTACGTTTCTTTGAGCTCGCCGCGCGGGCTTATGTCCCATATACGGACAAGCGAGTCCGTTCCGCCGCTGAAAAGTCGTGTTTCACAGTCGCTCACCAAAAGACAAAGCACAGACCCCGAATGCGCCCCGTACTCCCTCACGCGCTGGAACGTGCGCAGATCGTACACAAGGATGCGCGAGTCCTGGGTTCCGCAGAAAAGCAGGTGGTTTTTCGGCGAACAAGCGACGCAGACAATGGAGCTGTCGTTGCTCCACTTGTGCACGAGCGACGGGTCTCCCGTGCCGGAGGGCTCCTCGCACACGGAGACCGAGTCCGGGGTCTGCGACCCGGATCGCCAGGTGTTGCTCTGCGAGAGCAGCGGCAGCGATCTGTCGTGGGGTGGGAACATGAAAAGGTAAAATAATTTTTAAGAAAATAAAAAAAATGATGCCCCCACTCAGATTTGAACTGAGGATCTCCACATTACTAGTGTGGCGCCTTACCAACTTGGCCATAAGGGCTTGGGTTGCAGGAATCCCGTGCAGAGCAAACTTACGGCGCAACACGGCTCTACGTCTTCTATTACGCGCTATCTGTCTCATCGTCCTTCTCCCTGTCCTCGGCATGGATCCACATCTTCATGAACCGCGTCAGGAAGCCCGCGCACAGCACCTGCTCGCTCTGGTACAGCACCAGCGGCACCAGCAGCGTGCCCAGGTGCTCGCTCTTGTCGCCGTACTGGGCCGACACCAGCGCCACCCCCAGGGCGGCCGTTTTCGCCGCCCCGCACAGCATCACGGCCACTGTATCTGGGCGGCTGTAGTAGAAGGGGGTCACCGTTTTGTGGAAGCGAGCATACGCACCCTGCTTCGCAGGCTCGGGCAGTTTTTTCAGAAAAACCGGCCGCGACACGGCAAAGCAGATCACCGTGTACAGCATGTAGATCCCGACGTTGAAGAAGCACACCAGGATGATCGACGCGTGGCTCACTGCCGTGAACGCGTGCTGGTAGAACGCCGTCGAGAACGACGAAAACATCACCAGCAGAAGCATGAACGAGCCCACCTTGTTGAACCGGAACGTGGTCAGAAACCACTTGGTCTGCTTCGGGAACAGGTTCTGCACCACCTGCCCGACAAACGTCGGCACAAACACGCTGCACCCGATCTGCTGCATCACGTCTCTGTAAACCCGCGTAATCGACGAGCCGTTGGCGGGGTTGCCGAACTCCCACGCTCCTCTAAGAAACATCTGGCACAGCGCCGGCGTGACGAACGCTCCCAGCATGTTGCCGATAAACACCTCGCACAGCGTCAGGAGGTCGTTTCCGTCGGCCTGCCGCGTCATCACCACGTTCGACGCCACCGTCGTCGGACAGCACGCCGTCACAATCAGCCCCACAAGCAGCCAGTCGTCGATCTGCGGATTGTGGGCCGCCTTGATCGCACAGCAGAAGCCGTACATTATGGCCGGCGTGACGAGGAACTGCAGCACCAGCACGACCGTGTGCGCGCGCCAGTTCGCCATGTTGGCCATCAGCTGTTTCGTGCCCATTGACAGCCCCGAGCCCAGGAAAATGATCGCCACGGCGCCGTACCCGATGGTGTACTCCCCGCGGATAAGCCCTCCGTGGCGGGCAAAATTGGGCGCAAACCGGGCGATCACCACGAAAATCGCCAGCCCGATGTAGAACCAGTACGTCTGGGCAAACCAGAGCGCCGCCTTCTTGGCCTTCTCGAGAAAAGCCATGCTAGATAACGTCGATAAAAAATAATAAAAAAATGCCAGAAAAAGAAACTAGATAATAATTCCGCTGGTCCTGGGCTATGTATCTCTTTTAATAAATGACTCAATCATGCCAATCTCAGACTCGGCGTATTCTTCCACCTCGACGTCGTCCCCGCGCAGCACAGTGTTGCCCTGCACAAGCTGCTTTCTCGGCAGCTTCTTGGCCACCACAACGTCTCTGAACCTGAGCAGCTCCGGGCCCGGCGTGGTGTGCTCAACGAAAAATTCCGTTCCGTTCGCAACGTCGCCAGAACACTTGTAGATGTGCAGTTTCTTGAGGAACGCGTCGATCGCACGCTGTCCGACCGTCTCGATCTTGGTCCTGTCCACCTTGATCACCAGGTCGTCGAAGTCCGGCCGAGTGTACTCCAGCGAAACCAGCCCCTCGCCGGCGTCCAGGTACGTCTTGAGGATCGCAAACCGGGCCTGGCAGTGCGGCTGGCCCCACTTCTTGTTCTCTGGGTCGTAGTACTCCAACGCCAGCAGTCCGGCCCGGCACATGGTCAGATACGACACAAAAAGCACCTCGTCCTGCTCCTTGGGCTCCTTGAACCCAAACACAGACAGCAGCGTTCTGTTCGTGAACAGACTCATGGCAACAGACTCTGCACGGCACTCCTCAAACGCGCCCGACACAGACCCGAACAGCGACCCCCACGTCTCGCCCTTTTTGTAGTACGTCGACACGGGTTTGCCGTCGAGTCCAAGCGGTGGATTTTTCACGTCAAAGTTGAACTTGCCGTCGTCAGTCTCCATCAGCAGCTTCCCGGTCCCGTGGCCCAGCAGCTCGTGGATCCCCACCTGCACCTCAAACGCCTCGGCACGATACTTCTCGTACAGTGGCTGTGTCTGCTCTTCCACGAACGTGACCGGCTCCTTGCCAGACTTGGCACTGAGCACGTTGCCCAACGACACGTTCTTGAACCCGAGGTTGATCCGCACCTTGTCGTAGTTGGGCAGGTTGATGCCTGCAGGCACGCCGCTCGTCGTCATCGACAGAACCTCGAGCGAAGTGAAGTCGGGCGGCGTGAACACGTCCTTCTCGTAGTCTTTGCTCCACGGCAGCTCCGCGATGAAATCCTGCGCCTTGCGCACCAGCTCGCCGAACTTGGCCGTCCTGTCCTTGTTGACCATCGCCACCAGACACTCCCACTCGCCGCGCACGTTGGCCGGCTCCCTGTACGTCTCGATGAAGCCGATGTTGGTCTCGACGGCAGGCCCCATGTCCTTCACCCAGTGCACCTGCGACTGGTAGTGGGCGTTCATCGAGCCTGTCTGGAACGACTCGATGTAGTTCTCGAGCATTTTGAGCTGTGTCTCGTTGGCCACGTACTTTTTGGCCTCGACAAGGTTCTCGACGATCTTGGCGAACTCGGCCGAGTGGTCGCCGAACTTGAACTCAATGGCGGCCGCTTTGCCGCCTAGCTCGAACGTGATCGTGTCCGGGTAGTAGCCCGTCGAGTTCGAGATGTTGGCCGACGCGACGTGCACACGGAACAGCGCGTCGTCCACCTTCTCGAGCCTGGTGTTCTCAGGCATGATCCCGTGTGCAGCCAGCGCCGAGTTGACAGCCTCGACTTCTGCCTTTGCCAGGGTGTTCAAATAGTAGCCCGTGACGTGGCCCTCGGCGGGCCAGCCCAGCAACACCCGTTTCGAGTCGAGAGCGTACATGTCGTCCTTGACCTGCTCGAACAGCTGCAGACACACCTCGTCGTTGACGAGCTCGACCAGCGTCTCGAAGTCGCCCTTGGGCAGCCGCGGGATGAACTTGACGTCGCCGAACGACTTGTAGTTGCCCAGATTGCTCAAAAACTGAGAGGCGTACTCCAGATACGACTTGACAGCGTCCTTGCCCAGGTGCTTTTCCAGGCCAGAATAGTCTGCCTTGACGGCGGCGTGGGTGGCCAGGATCAGGTCGTAGATCTGCTCCGACTCAGGCGAAACAGAGCGCAAGATGACCCTTGTTCCCCAGTGGCCTGCCTTGGCCATGTAGTGGGCATACAGCTTCTCGTTGCGGGACAGCTGCTGGAAGTATGTTTTGGCCGAGAGCCGTGCAATTGGCGCGCCGGTGTCGGCGTAGTACGCGGAGGGGCTCAGAGTGGACATTTTAGGGGTGGCAAAAATCGGGACTGATTTTGCTCTGGAGAAATATCTGAGCATAAAATAGGGTACGCGAAATAAATAAAAAAAAACAGAAAAACACCATGGCCGACAAGATGGAGAACCCTGAGGAGAAAATCCAGGAGGGGCTCTACGACCGCATCATCAACAACCTGGTACGTACGCGCTGAAGAGAACTAACCGCAGACCCAGCTGAACGCAAACGTGGGCAAGATCAACGCGCAGCTCGTGGAGATCGAGAAACAGAACGAGAAGACCGTGCTTGTGAGCGAGCTGTGGGAGAACTATCGCAAGAACGCAGAATTCCACCTGGCCAAGACGGGCGGGCTCGAGGGGCCAATCGAGTAGCTGGCGACGGCCCCACCGCATACATTCTCTTACTTGTCGCTATAGCTGGACTATACTAAACGCGCTCTTGTCGATCGACATTATCTCAACGTACTATTATCGCTATACCGTTCGGTCCACACCTACTCCCTCTGGGTAGGCAGCATGTGGAATCTCTTCTTCAGCGTCACTCTCTGTCTGCTGTACTTGTCGTCTGGCGAGAACCTGGCCGGGTGGGCCGACTTCGTGATCTCGCCCGTCTCCGTCTCCTTCTTCAGCGTGTAGATTCTCTTGCCGTCCGGGCCCAAAGTGTACATCAAGTGCATGGCGAAGCTCGTGGAAATAAAATAAAATAAATGAAAAATTTGTTCTGCACAGCCTTTACCTCTTCTTCACCTTATGTCCAAAGACGTGTTTGCGGATTTGCTGAAAACCTCTGCCAAATCCAGGCCCGCCGCCAACAGGACGCCCTTGGCCCAGCAGCAGCCGCCGCCCGCGCCGGCTCAGGCCGCTCTCGACGTCGACTGGCTCGACCAGCTGTCCTCCCGCGCCAGCCCCAGCAGCACTCCCCAGCAGCAGTCTTCCGACGACTTCGAAAAGCTGTTCGACGTCTTCAAGGCGCCGCCCGGCGACCCGCAACCGGCCGCCGCCGACAGTCCGGCCCCTGCGCCAGAATCCGCCCGCACACCTCCCAGGTCACCCACCCCGCCACCGACCACGTACGCCCAGCTCGTGGAGATGGGCTTTTCCGAGCAGCAGGCCGCGGACGCCGTCCGCAACACAGACACGTTCGACGCGGCGATTTCGTATCTGCTCGACGCCGCGCACCAGCACAGCCAGCCGGCCCGTCGCGACGCCGCGGCGCCAGAGGACCTGGGCGCCCTGGTGAACGATCTCTCGGCCGAGTTCATGTCCAAGGCGTCGTTCTTGCTCAATACGGGCAGAAAAAAGCTGAAGCAGGGCATTGAGATGTACCGGCAGCACGAGCGCAGGAACGAGCCGGCGTGGATGCGCGGCCAGGACAGGTACAAAAAGGAGGACTTTTCAGAGGAGCAGGAGATCGAGAGGGTGAAACAGCTGGAGGAGGAATGGAATCGACGCAAGAGGGACACCCGCGAGGAAAGCAGGCCGTCGGGCACACCGTCGGTCCAGCAGCTGACGCCGTCTCCGACCGGCTCTGCGCCAGCCGCGGCCCCTGCTCCGCTGCTCGACTTCGGCGACGAGCCGGCTGCCATCTCAGACAGCCCGTCAGACCCCACCCCGCCACCGGTACCACCGCAGTTCCAGACCCTCAGACAGCAGGGCAGCGACTACTTCGCCAAGGGCGACTTTACAAGCGCGCTCGAGACGTACCAGCGGGCGCTCGCACAGCTGCCCGAAAACCATCCGTGCCGCATCATCGCCTACTCCAACCTGGCCATCGTGTACTCGCGTCTCGGCGACGCCAAGAAGCAGCTGGAGTCCGCGGAGAACGGCATGGCACAGGCCGCTAGCGCCTCTCGCGACACAAAAATAGACGACAAGCCGGTGAAAAGCTATTGGATTAAGCTGGTGGCTAAGAAGGCAGAGGCCCTGGAGCATCTCGAGAGATTCAAAGAGGCGCTCGAGGCGTACAACCTGCTGATCGAGAACGGAGAGTTCGCGAAACCGGTCATGGACGGGAAAAGAAGATGTCTGAACGTGCTGCAACCGCCTAGACCGGCCCGAAAACCGGCCAAGAGCTCGTCTCCCGCCACAGCGCCCTCCGAGACCGTCTCGCGCGTCCAGGAACACCACCGCAAGCAGGAATCGCTCGAGGAGGAGAAGTTCGCGCTCCACGACAAGGTCGAACAGCAGCTGCAGAGCTGGAAGGCCGGCAAGGAGGACAACCTGCGCGCGCTGCTGGCATCCTTGCACCAGATCCTCTGGCCAGAGCTGGGCTGGAAAAGCGTCGGACTGACGGACCTCGTGCTCGACAAGAAGGTCAAGCTGGTGTACATGAAGGCCGTGGCCAAGACGCACCCGGACAAGATTGCGAGCGAGACGTCGACGGAGCGCAAACTGATCGCGAACGGCGTCTTCATCACCCTGAACCAGGCCTGGGACAGGTTTAAGGAGCAGAATAAATAGAGTGTCATCCCACAATGGCTGCCTCGTAGCTTGTGAGCGCCTGGGCGAGCGACGCGCTCAGCGGGTCCATCAGCAGCCTGCCCAGGTCTCTGTCGGCGCCCTCCAGCTGCGCCAGACTCGACTGGACGCGGTCGACGCACTTGGAGATGCTGGTGTAGAGTTTTTTCAGCTGGAGCAGCTCGGCGCGGAAGTTGGGGTTTGTCGACGGCGACGAGGTGCTGATCGAGTTGAAGTGCAGCCAGAAGTGGCGCAGGAACTCGACGCTCGTCGAGTGCGTGAGCCGGAGCGTCTCGAGCCTGTCGTGCGGCAGGTCGACGTCGACGTCCTGTTTCTCGACGCTCGCGTCCAGCTTGATAGTCCAGGCCTGGCTCTTGGCGTTCTTCTTGATGATGTTGAGGATTTCCTTGTACGTGTCGAGCAGCGGCTTTTTGTTGGCGTAGACCGCAGACAGATCCACGTCCTGGAGCTGTTTTTTGTATGTTTTCATGTACGCGTCGTAGACCGACGGGGTCGGGTTCAGCTGCGACTGCGCGTTGAACTTTTCGAGCACGTCTGCCGGCAGAACGTTGGACGACAGGTTCGAGCGCTGCGTGTACTCCAGCTGGTTGTACTCGACGGTGTTGGGGTTGTCCAGGTCTCTCAGTTCGAGCTCCTCCTCGAACTCCTTGTCCATGTCGGTGTCGTCCTTGATATTCTGCATCATGCGTCTGCTGAGCCGGTTCATCGACCGCATCACGCTGACCAGCTCGTCGTTCTGGTCCTCCTTCATCGTGATGTCCGGCCCGTTGCCTAGCGTCTCCGGGTTATCCTCCTTGTTGGCCTTGATATCGATGAACTTCGACACCTGCTTGCCGTCCTGCGTGAAGAGCTTTATTTTTTTCTTCGCCGCCGTCAGCTGCTCGGAGTTGCGCCGTTTGCGGCTGCCGTCCTCCTCCTTCTTCTCCTCCAGCAGCTTGTCGATGTCTGCGTCCTCCTCCTCGCCGTCGTAGTCCGGGTCGTAGAACAGATACTTGTCCAGAGTGATGTCTCCACGGTCGTACAGGTTGACTTTCTCGCCGCGCAGCTTGCGGAACAGCTTCGACGAGAAAAATCGCGACCAGAACTCGCCCTCGCTCATCTTCGGCACGTTGTCGTCGTACGCCTTGCGCACGATCGGGTACTGCTGGAAAATCTCGTGGATCTTTTCTCGCGTGACCGAGACGTTCACCTGGTTCTCGCTCGAGGCCACCGGCTTGATCGTGCTCAGGACGTTGTACGGGCCGCGCTTCTGGTTGTTCTGGATGGCAAACGAGCGCAGGAGGTGCACTCGCGTCGACCAGAACTCCTCTGGGTCGAGCCCGGACTTGATCACGGCCTCTGCAAACGTCTTCATCAGCGCAGGGTTTTCTCTGAGCAGTTTCTGCTGGAGCGTGAGGTTTTTCAGCAGCTTCTTCGAATCAAGCATGTCGGCGAGCACCTCGTCCTGTCTGCCGTCCAGCGGAGCGGGCGACCCGGCTGCGGACGGCGTCGACCGCCCAGAAGAGGCCGACGCCGCGAGACTGGCGTCCGCTGCCGCGGCCGACTTGCGACGGGCGATCGTCTGCTGCAGCACGGTCTTGACGTTGTCCATGAAGATGCGGCTGTTGAATGCAAACACCACCTCGGACTTCACCTCCGAGCCGGCGCCTATGCCGATCTTCAACAGCATCTTGGGAGACGTCTTCTTGGAGGCCTGCAGGGTAACGACCGAGTCGAGCAGAATCTCCACGGGGGGCGCCACGCCGGCGTCAATGCACTTCCATACCAGACGCGGCGGCGACTCTTCCTCCAGGACGGTGATCATCCCGGCCTTTTTCTTGTAAATGGCCGAACCTGTGATGGGAGACATGACAAGGAAAAAAAAAGTATTTAATCTGATTTTACTCAAGTCTGACCATTTATGTTGAGACTTTTCTGCAGGCCGCTGATTCGCCCAAGGGCGGGCTTTGGGTGCTCTGCGATCCGCCTTGCGCAGACCAAAACACCGGTGTTCGAGAGCAAACACTTTCCTGCCCAGGAAGTGGAGGAAGAGACTCCGAAGCAAAACAGACCAATGACCGTGAACGACGAGCTGCCCGACCCGTTTGCCACCAAAAGACGCAACAGAAGGGTGTTCATAGGGTTCTGGATCGTGATGGGCGTGTCGCTGTTCGGCATATTCAACTACGAAAAGATCTCGTCGCCGGTGATGAGCGCCACCATGTATTTCCTCAGGAGGTCGGAGAACGCGCGCTCGAAGCTGGGCAAATCGATCACTTTCGAGGGCGTCTTTCCGTGGATCAGGGGCGAGCTCAACACCATGAAGGGCAACATCGACGTCGAGGTGCGTGTGGCGGGCGACAAGGCCGGGGCGCTGATGAAGCTGCGGGCCGCGAGAGCGTCGCGCGGCGACAGCTTTCAGATCGAGGAGTGGCGGCTTATTTTCGACGACGGCACAACGATGGACCTGTTGCAGGACACGAGCGTCAATCTGGAGTTCTAGCAGTCACGCCGAACGGCATCTTGCAAGAGCTGTCCCCCACATAAGCCAATCCTCTACATTATGCCTGTATATATGCGTATTTAATCCTGCGTATCATCACGTGTACTGTGCCTGTATCTCGCTGTCTTCACACCATCGACCCAGACAGATTTGCGTCCCTTATTGTTTCCTCCCTAAACCGCGACTCGCCGTGCAGCTGTTTCACGTACGTGGCGTCCTCCAGGACGGGCACGGAGTCCAAATAGTCGCTGCCGTCCTTTTCCTGTCTCGGCCCGAACTCCTCCTCGGGCACCTCTTCTGGGATCTTGTCCTCTTTGTCGTGTCTCATACGCTGACTGATAATTAGACCGCACACAAATATAGCCACCAGGCCGGCTGGAATGCCCACTGCGCAGCCAACAGCACCAGAAGTAGATACCATGGCTTTGACGCAATATTAATAAATAAAAGATAATTATTTGGAGTGAAAGGTCCGTCGCGACGATTATTTTGTCTACCATGAGCCCACTGCGTTTTTGTCGGCAATTGTCCGGACTGCGCGCGCGCAAGAGGCTTGTGGAGCCGCGCGCGCTGATAAACGGCCAGTTTATCGAGTTTCCAGGGTTTGAAGTGGTGAACCCGGCCAACCAGCAGATGCTGGCCCAGGTCAGCGACACGCCTCTCGAGCAGGTCGAGGTTGCTGTTTCTGCTGCTGCGCGGGCGTTTGACGACTACCGCTCCGTGCCCGTCCACGCACGTGCCCGGATCCTCTCCAATTGGCACAATCTGATGCTGGAGCACGAGCAAGACCTTGCCCGGCTCGTGACGCTCGAAAACGGCAAGCCCTTGGCAGACAGCCTTGGCGAGTTGCGCTACGCTGCTAGTTTTTTCAAGTGGTTTGCCGAGGAGGCTGTGCGTTGCTATGGAGACACAATCCCCTCGGCAACGCCTGCGAACCGCATGTACACGCAATGGCAGCCAGTCGGTCCGGTGGGGATCATTACGCCGTGGAACTTCCCGCTTGCCATGATCACACGCAAGCTGGGCGCGGCCTTGGCGGCTGGCTGCACCTCGGTGATAAAGCCGGCAGCTGAGACGCCGCTGTCTGCAATGGCCATGGCTGTGCTTGGCGTCGAAGCCGGCGTCCCCGACGGCGTGGTGAATTTTGTCCCTGTTTCGCATGGCAAAACCGCCAAGGTGGGGGAGCTTTTTTGCAAGTCGCCGGACCTGAGGAAAGTGTCTTTCACGGGCTCTACCCGCGTGGGCAAACTGTTGATGGAGCAGAGTTCCAGCACGCTCAAACGGCTGTCTATGGAGCTCGGGGGCAACGCCCCGTTTGTCGTCTTTGAAGATGCCGATCTGGAAAAGGCCGCCGCCGGCTTTATGAGCTGCAAATTCCGCTCCTCGGGCCAGACGTGTGTGTGCGCAAACCGCATCTTTGTCCATGACAAGATTTATGCCGAGTTTGTTGCCATGGTGGCAGATCTGATCGATAGGAACACCCGGCTCGGTCCAGGTATCGATCCTTCTGTCACGCACGGTCCGCTCATTCACGAAAACGCTCTTGCCAAAGTGGAGTCATTGGTGGAGGATGCCGTGGACAAGGGAGCCAAGATCGTTCGCGGCGGCCGCAGACGGCCAGATCTGGGGCCCCTGTTTTACGACCTCACGCTGCTCAGCGACGTGACGCCAAAAATGGACATCTTTTACACCGAGGTATTTGGTCCTGTCGCCCCAGTTATACGCTTCTCCGCAGAGGAGGAGGTTGTGCAGCAGGCCAATAACACGGAGGTCGGTCTGGCGGCCTATTTCTACACGGAAAACAACAGCAGAGCCTGGAGAGTGGCCGAGAAGCTGCAAGCGGGAATGGTGGGGGTTAACACGGGGCTGATCTCGGAAGCTGCGCTGCCATTTGGCGGTATGGGAGAAAGCGGATTCGGCAGAGAGGGCAGCAAGTACGGACTTGCCGAGTACTCTGAGCTTAAGACGGTTGTGGTGGGTATATAAGGTATATATGGGTTATTTCAGTTTTTTCTTTTGTCCATTGTCTAGTTGATAGATGAGGGCTCCCGCAGACGCAGTGAGCATGCCCAGATAACCCAACGCACCCAAGTTATGGCCAAAAAATACCACAGAGATAACGAACGAGGCCAGTCTGCGCAGAAGCAGCACAACACCGAGTGTGAGCGGGTCGGTTTTCTGGGCCAGCATGTTGACTCCCGTGACACAGACGAGCTGCGTTCCGGTGTTGAGCGCTGCAAACCGCCAAAAGTCGGAGGAGCGGCCATACAGCTGCAGTTCGGCGACTATGCCGTTGCTGATCAGCAGCAGAGACGGTAGGCCGTAAAAATGGGTGTAGAAGAGGGTCTGGACCCAATTGAGGTTCTGCGTGAGCATGATTTTGTTATTCCAGAACGAGGTGACGACTCCAAGCAGCGTCGACGCGAGCACAAGAAGCAGGCCCGTCAGGGTGACGGGATGGCTCGAGTCGCTTTTTTCTCCGGACAGCGTAGTTATAGTTATACCGGCGGACAAAATGATAGCACCTGCGATCTGGTAGATAGAGTAGCGTCTGCCAAAAAATTGCGACCCAACGATCACAGTCAACGGCGTCGATGCCGACCGCGTCACTATGTGCACGGGCACAGAGATGCCGTACTTGAACGCCAAGTTGTTTGCGATGGCACACAGGAAAAAGAGCGAGGTGGTCAAAAAATATTGGAACGGAGGACGTTTGTCGTGATTTCGGGGCAGAAAAGGAGCCACGGCGAGCGAGATGAAGAGGTACTGAAATGCAGTTATGAGGTTCGAAGGCACAGGTTTGAGCTGAGAAATCAGCTCCATGGAGATCACATTGGTGCAGCACCCCGAAAAGGTGAGCAGCGCTGGAAAAAGCATAACTTTGAGAATAAACTGGCTACTTTTTATGTCGGACGAGACATTGCCGTCGCTCGACGAATTCAAGCTGCACAATCTCCTGAAAGCTATTCCTGAGGCGCAGCGGGACCTGATTCAGGCCATATTGCGAGTAAGCAGGTGCTACACGAAAGACCTGGACACGCAATGTGGGGAGATCGTGAGCATAGAGAAGGAAGAGGTGATGGATAGACTGGACCGTGTGCAGCGCAGTTATGAGAGCATCAAGGCTGTCGACAGGACGAAATACATGGATAAGATAAAGCGGCTAGAATCGGAGATGGGCGACGTTGCGCAGCAGTTTGCCTCCTCGAAAGAGCGAATTGACCGTCTCGTGACAAAAATCAAGCGAATAGAAAAAATGATGCAGCTGAAGGACCGGCTCTTCGACCCGAAAACGTTCCACTATGACCATTACAAAGAGTTATATCAGTACGGCATGCACAAGGACGCAAAGGAAAAGAGCCCGCTGAAAGAGCAGCAGTTTCTGAGCCTCGAGCAGGAGATCGGCGAGCTACACAGACAGCGGTCCACCAGCATAACGCGGATCCATAACCCCACCCACTTGCTGGTCCACGAGGAGCCCGTCACGCAGATCTCGGAGACTGTCGTCACCGCGACGTCGCCACCATTAGACCACGATGTGTCCACCACGTTGCGTGGGTACGTTAAGTAGTTTTTATCCATCCCAACTGCTGCGCCATGTTCTCAAACATGCCGCTCAGCGTGCTTTCGCCGTACAGCGTAATCAGGTCCCCGCGCTCTTTCCACTCGTTCTGTCTCTCTATAAGCTCGTTGAACGTGGGGTCAATCGGAACGCTCCCTAAAAACGGCAGGTCCAGACTCTTCGCCAACGCCTCTCCCCCACCCGAGCTGAAAATGTTTGTGCACTCAGCACAATGCGGGCACACAAACCCTGACATGTTCTCCACCAGCCCCAGCACCTTGAAATTCACTTTCTGGCAGAAATTCAGCTCCTTTTTCACGTCGTTGATAGACACCAGCTGCGGCGTCGTCACGACAACGGCGCCGTCCACGTTATTGCAGTACCTCAACTCCTCCGCAATCGCAATGTGCTCGTCAGAGGTGCCCGGCGGCGTGTCCACCAGCAGGTAGTCCAGATGCTCCCATCGAACGTCCTTGATAAACTGGCGGATCATGCCGGTCTTTTTGGGGCCCCTCCACACAACGCTGTTGCCCCTGTCGCCCAGTAAAAACCCGAGCGACATCACAGCCAGCCTCTTGGAGTCGTCGTAGTACACGGGCACCCAGCCGTTCGACGACTGGTGGATTTTGCCCTCCTCTATGCCAAACATCCGGGGCATCGACGGGCCTGTCAAGTCGATGTCCAGCACGCCGACCTTGTAGCCCTGGCGGACGAGCGTGAGCGCCAGCTGCGTGGTCACGGACGACTTCCCCACGCCGCCTTTGCCCGACAGCACCAGCACAATGTGGTCGACGTTGTCCAGCATGAATAAGTGAAAATAATTATTAATCTTCTACACAGCCTTGCGCCGCTCAGTTTTCCCAGATGCGCTGATAGTAGTTCAGCCAATTGAGACCCAGCACCTTGCGCATTCTCTCGGCCGACCAGCCGCGTCTTGCCATCGCCACAGCCAGCTCCTCGCGGTCGGCGAGCTTGCCGAGCGGCTTGACGACCGGCGCGGCGCCCCACTCGGTCATCTTGCGCGCGTAGCCCTTGTCCCTGTTGCACCACTCCAGGAACGGCGACGGCCGGGCGTGGCCCTCCGACGCGTCGGACCCGATCCCGACAAGATCCTCCCCCACAAGGCCAATGAAATACTCCAGCACCTCCACGTAGTCGTCGATCGTGCTCTCGTTGCCCTTCTTCATGTGGGGTCCGAAGTTGGAGGCAGCAACCATGCCGCCCTTGGCCCCCAGCGCCAGGATCTCCTCGTCGGTCTTGTTGCGGCCGGACTTTTTCATGCCCGATGGCAACACGTGCGAAAAGCACGGCGGCTTGCGCGCGTACTCAATCGTGTCCATCGTCGTCTGGTGCCCGACGTGCGACAGATCGCACACGATCCCCAGATCTGCCATCTGGTCCACCACCTCTCTGCCAAAACCGGTCAGTCCGGAGTCGCGCAGCTCCGTGTAGCCTGCGCCGGAGTAGTTCTGCGTGTTGTACGTGAGCTGCATCTGGCGGACGTTGAGGTCGCGGAACACACGCAGATAGTCCAGCTGGTCCTCAATGCCAGAGGTGTTTTGGAAATTGAGGATGACGCCTGTCTTGTTGAGCTTCTTGGCGGTGTAGATATCCTCAATGCTGGTGACCTCCATGATAAGGTCGCTGTACTCCTCGTACCACTTTTTCCACTGGACGATGTTGGCAATGGTGCCCTTGAAGTCCTCCCAGAGGCCGCAGGTGCACGAGACGACGGTGATGCCACCCTTGCGCCAGGCGTGAAAGATTTCTGGTCCCCAATTGGAGATGTTGAGCGAGTCGATGTGGATGGACTCGCGGTACAGTTGGCGGGCTTCGTCTTCAAAAAGCATGTTGGAGGAAGAAAAGTCATGCGGTGATTTTGTTTGCATGGTCGGAGTTTTAGCTGCAGGAAAACTCCGCTGTGGAGTGTGGCTTCGATAAGCGCAGATGAGGTCCCGCTGGACTGCCAGGGTCCCTGGGAGCACCAGTGCAAGTTCTGAGACGAAGTGGAAAGTCCCCGACGTCCTATATGCTCTCCATATTTGCTGGCTGGACGGTCGCAAGATTTTACCCATTCTGCGTCTTCTGATAAATCTTTCTAATCAGTATCAGAATTGAGGGTTCCTGCATGTCACATTGTTCGAAATTTGCGTGCATCGTAGCCAAAGTACTTAAAGAGGCCGCCGTACACGATCTCTCTCTGACCTACCGCCATGTCTGTTTCCGCGTTCTGGCACCGCCACAAGGGCAAGCTCTGGGACACGCTCGACAAATCTCCCAAGGAGAGATAAATGTACTTCAAGATCGACTTCTGGATCCTCACGTACGCTTGCGTGGGATACTTCCTGAAGACTTTGGACCAGACCAACCTGTCCAACGCATATGCGTCCGGCATGAAGGAGGACTACGGTTTCCACGGCAACCAGTATAATATGGCCAGTAGCACGCTGTTCAACATTGGCTACATTATCGGCCAGATCCCCAGCCAGATGGTTCTCACCAAAGTCCGCCCGTCAATTTGGCTGCCAACAATGGAGCTTCTGTGGGGGGTCTGTTGCATGTGCCTAGCTGCAACAAGCAAATCGCAGGCGGGTGTCAAACAGGTGTACGCACTGCGGTTCCTGACTGGTCTTTTTGAAAGTACGAGTTATTGCGGTCTCATTGGACTTCTTGGCCAATGGTATACCCCGTCGCAGCTCGGCAAGCGCGCGGGCATTTTCCAAATCTCGTCCTCGCTCTCTAACATGTTCTCTGGTTACCTCCAGAGCGGACTGCATAGCGGCATGAACGGTGTGCACGGCCTCGCCTCGTACCAGTGGCTGTTTATTTTTGACGGAATTATCACGATCCCGGTGGCCATCTATGGCTACTTTGCGATCCCGGACGCTCCACACGATTCCAAGTCGTGGTGGCTGAAAAAAGACGAGAAAGAGCTGGTTATAGCCAACCTCGACGCGGTCAAGAGGCAGCCGCGGAAGAAGCTCACCCTCAACTCGATGAAGGCGCTGTTTTTCACGTAGCCCGTCTGGCTGTTCTCCACGGCGTTCATCTTCCACGTTGTGGCCATCAAGCTGTACAGCTACATGAACCTGTGGCTCTAGTCGGAGCACTATTCGGTCTCGCACATCAACACGTACCCGACAGCTGGTTATGCTGTGCAGATAGTGTGCACCGTGATCATGACGTGGACGTCCGACATCATCGGCAAGAGATGGCCAATGATTGTGGTTTTCTGCACGGTTTCGGTTATAGGGTGCATCATCCTTACCATCTGGCCGACACATAACCACGTCGCTATGTTTGTGGGCTGGTACCTGCTGTTTGCAGAGACAGGCTGTGGCGTGCTCTACATGTCCTGGATCAACGAAACCATGAGCCACTCGGCCGAGCAGCGGTTCGTGTGCATCGGCGTCGTCGAAGCACTTGCGTTCACTTTCCAAGCCTGGTTGCCGCTCATCATCTACAACACCGCTAATGCGCCGTTCTTTGGAAGCGGCTAACCGACCGCGCTTGCCTTTTTCGCCGGCGAGGCAGTTATGGGGTGCGTCATTGCCTACTTGCTGTACAAGGAGGCGCACGGCTTCTCGTGGCTCCTGGAGCGCAGGGACAACGATTTCCGCCGGATTGCGATCACAGAGTTTGCCAAAGAAATCGGCGACTCAGAAGTCGTGCAGACGTACGAGCATGCAGATGACAAGTCCTCCTCTATGTAGCCTGATTAATAACTCCGACACCTTACACCTAGCCGAAAAAATAGTTCAAAAGATCGCACCACACACTCGTATTTCTAATGAAAATTTGTATCATCGGAGCAGGACCAGCGGGCGTTGCCATGGCCAAGGCAGTTGCCATGGAGCCCCGCAGTGACATGGACATCCATGTCTACGAGAGAAACGCCATGGCAGGCGGGCTGTGGAATTACACAGGCAAGGAGAAAGAGAAAGTTTCTTGCTCCGTGCCCGCCACGGATCAACGCAAAGCGCGGGAAAACAGCGTCCCAGGCATTCCCTACGTGTCCGCCATGTACGAGCACCTGGAAACCAACATTGTCAAGGACATGATGCGGTACAAAGACGTGCAGTTTCCGCCAGAGTGTGAGACGTTCCCGACTAGACAGGAAGTCGCCGAGTACGTCCGCAAATACGCCGCCACGATCCCCGAAAACGTGCGTTTCCACTACAACAGCACTGTCGTTGCACTCGAGAAGCTTGACTCCTGGCAACTGACTTACAAGGACTCCGTTTCCAACGCTGTCTTGACCGAATCGTTTGATTACGTAATCCTCGCTCAGGGACATTTCGACCTGCCCTACATCCCAGAAGTGCGCGGACTTGAGGAATGGAACGCTGCAGACCCGGCGAGTATCATCCACGCAAAGTACTACAACGACGTGGAGCGGTTTGAGAACAAGACCGTGCTGGTGGTTGGAAACTCCGCCTCCGGCATCGACATTGCCACGCAGCTCACGACGTACGCAGGCAAGGTGATCGTTTCAGCCGCGTCGCCGTCGCCCGTCGCCGACATCCTCATCGACGACGTGGCGCAGATCGGCAAGGTGGACGAGTACCGTGTCGCTGACAGGTCGGTCGTCACCGTGGACGGAGAGACGGTGTCCGGTGTGGATTACGTAATATTCTGCACGGGGTATCTGTACAGCATTCCGTTCCTGAAGTCGTACACCGAGGGGGAGCATGCGATACTGACGACTGGCGAGCATGTGCGGTATGTGTACAAGCAGATGTTCTATATTCCGGACCCGACGCTGATCAACGCCGCGCTGGGGAAGAACATCATTCCGTTCCCGTTTGCCGAGTGTCAGGCGCAGTATGTGGCGCGGGTGATCAGCGGCCGCGAGCGGCTGCCCTCGCAGGAGCAGATGATGCGGGAGTATGAGGAGGAGGTGGCTGCCAAGGGCGACGGTAAGGGTTTCCACGAGCTGAAGTATCCAGCCGACGCGGAGTATTGCAACCACATGTTTGAGCTGATTGAGAACACCAAGTCTGACGGGTTTGTGGCTGAGTACTGGGACGAGCAGCGCAAGGACCTGCGTGCGCGCACGGCCCAGATCAAGGCGAAGCGTCTGGAGCGGATTGTGGCGCATGCGCAGCAGCTGCGGCAGAGACATGAGAAGTTCCGGCTGCTGCGTGGCTAGGGCCGAGCAGCAGGCGGCGCAGACGTGCCTTGTTGCGCTCAAAGTCGAGGTAGCACAGCCCGTGTAGCAGCGAGTCGGCCACGTCGTCGCCCTTTTTGCGCGACTCTGCCGCGTCGATCTTGTAGACTGAATTTATAGAGTTGAGATACAGCATCTGGTCGTAGAGGTGGCGCGACGGCGACCGTGCGGCGGGCAGGTTGGGCGGCGAATCTAGTGCGTAGCACGCTCCGAGCGCGAACGGGACCTCGTGCGAGCGCTCTCCCGCGAGCAGCACGTCCATCCAGCGCGCAACCTTGACCATTCGCTCGGTTTTCGAATCCTTGGCGCCTGTCCAGTACGACGCCATTTTCTGCGGCGACTGGCTCTCCACATGGCAGCGGCCCCTGGCCAGTATCGTGGCCACCAAGACGCTCTCAAGAATGTTGCTCCTCAAAATGTGCTCAAACACGTTCTTGTTGCCCATTGTGCGGAACCGCTGCCGCTCCACCACCACCACGTCGGGCACGTCGCTCGCGTACACGAGATCGCGCACCACGTGACCCATAATCTGGCTGTAGTTGACCGGCGTGAACTCCTCGTTTTCGATGCCGGTGTACTGATGTAGGTCCATCTTGTACCACTGCACGAGTGACGGCACGCTGCCCTCCTCCAGCGTCTCGAGCCTGAACCGGCTGAACGAGAAGTTGCGCAGGCCGACATCGATCGCGAGCACGTGAAAGGGCTCCCTCAGCACAGACGGCCGCTCAACGGCGCGGCAGAGCGACTCGGCAAGCTCCCCTTTCGTCCCGGAAGTGGCAATTCCGCAGCTGTGCGCCGTCCGTCTCAGCCACTCGCCCTTTATATTATTCTTGGATATATATCTGGACAAGAGAGATCTCAAATCATGACACATGTAAATAAACAAAAAATATTTTATTTATTTTCTTTTGTTCCCTGGATGGATACAGTTCTGTAAGAAATAAGAATAGACATCTGATCCAATTCCTGCCGCCAAGATGGCCTACCTCACACTGCCGCCGGAGTTTATCCCGGAAGCAAAAACTGTCATCAACTGGTTCATGTCGGCCACGCCGCTGGTCACGTACGGAACGACCCTGCTTAGCATCCGCCGCAAAAAGTCCTCCAAGGGCTTCTCTATAGACATCTGCGCGACGATGCTGATTGCATCAACATTTCGGATCTTCTACTACATCAACGAGCCTTTCGAAATCAGTCTTCTCAGACAATGTTTTGTCATGATCTTCATACACGTCCTCCTGCTGAAGGTGGCCATCAAATACAGAGACCCCACCGAGACGGCGTATCTGCGGTACGAGGAGTCGTGGCCCGAGTTTCTCAGGTCGGCGTGGAACGTCGCCTGGGACCCCACGGACGAGGGCTCTGTTTATGGCGACCCACTGGAAAAAGCTTCGAACGCGGCTGTGCAGTACGCCAGACGAGTGTCCGACTTTTGCAGCCGGCTGTTCCTGCGGTTCCTGTTTCTGTACGACGCCCGCTACATTAGGCCGTTCCGGTTCTGGCAGTGGGACGAGTACTCGCAATACATGCAGTTCTTCGGGGGCCTGGTGCTAAGCTTGACTACTGTCCAGCTGGTGTTCGGCAGGACCGAGTGGCTGGGGTTGGTGTTTGCATCGTGCTCATTTTTGATAGAGAGCACGCTGCCCCTGCCGCAGATCCTGCTGTTCCAGCGGCTGCGCACCGTGGAAAACTTCAAAACCATACTTCTGCTCAGTTGGCTGGGTGGAGACCTCACGAAAATCAGCTACCTGATGTACGGCACAGACAACGTGGGGGTCATTTTTGTGGTTGCTGCCATCTTCCAGATGAGTCTGAATCTAGTCATCACATACCAGTTTTTCTACTACAAACACATGGACACGGTTAGTTCGCGACAGGTGATTCCGCTAAGCCACACTAAGGAGGAGATTCCGATGGACGAGTTCCGCGTTTCGGGTACTTTTTCTGCGTCGTCGAGCCGCGGCCCCTTCTCGCCGGTCTCATCGTCGCAGTTTCCGTCTCCAGCCACCACGCCGATCCTGAACCCGAAACTCGACCACACGCGTTCCAGATCAAGCACATTCAACGAGCACGAGGCACAAATCAACAAGAGTCTGCGCAAGGTGAGTCTGAGCAGCAGCGTTAACCTGGAGACGATGAAGGAGCAGAGTAGCAAACTAAATCATTAACATACAAACAATGAAGATATATCACACATTAGTCAGAACATAATTCATCTTTTCCGTTTCTAGTCTCTCATCGTTGATCTTCCACCAGATCTCGAAAGTCCCCGTCTCGTCGTCGAAAGTGTCCCTGCTCACCTCCCATGGCTTGGGGGTGATGATGTAGTGGATATTTTTTATTTCGTCGATGTCCCAAACATCGGCGTGGCATTTTTTCAAGGTTTTCAGACAGTTATACTTGTACGAGAGCCCCAGCCAGCGGTTGCGGAACACGTCCGAGAGCAGCTCCTGGTCCGGGAAGTCGTACGACGCCGTTTTCTCCGGCATCGATAACGTTTTCAATATCTCGTTATAATTGTCCATGTTGGGTTTCACAATCAGCAGGCCGCCGTTGCACGCCTTGAGTCCGTACCGTGAGTCCGGGCCCTTGATGTGGCGGAACTCGTCGTCTTCGCGGACGGATTCCCCGATTTTCGCGTGGTAGTTTGTGTAGGAGCAGTTTTTCGGAATCCAGTTTCTCGGATAGTGCTCCAATTTCAAAGGGTTGCACACACACGCAGGGCTAGCAGCAAAGGCAATGTGCTCGTCGAGCGGCAGCTCCATGAGCTCGTCCATGTTGCGGATCACAACCATGTCGGAGTCCAATTGGATGACTCTTTGGAACTGCGTGAGCTTGAACGGCTGTAACTTCGACCAGGTATCGTAGAACCTGGAATCGTGGCCAAACTCCTTCGACTTGGTGGGGACCAACGCTTCCACCTGCATGATCGGGATTCCTCGCCGGCAGATCTCCAGAACGGACTTGGGGTCCAGCTGCGAGGTGTACAAGGCAATTAGGGGATACTTGGATTGCGCCCTTTTCAGCGAGAAGTCCAGGGTCAGCAGGCCCTCAAGATACTTCCTGTTTGTGATCAAGGTGGACCACACCTTGGAATGCATCGACACGTCGGTGTCGGCCGGATACACATCATCGGCAGTCATCTAAGCAGCACTCGTGGAGGCCGAAAAACAAATGAAATTATCGATAGATAATGCGCCACGTATGGATGAGGTAATAGGTGTGGCTTTATCTGCCCTTTTCTCTTCTGGGCACGCAAAATTGGCCCTCGAACAAAGAAAAAAAAGATTCCTAAAGAAAACAACCAGTTTTTTCCACCCGTCCAAAAAGCAGACCTCAGCCTAAAAGGATCAAACCCACCAGTCCCGATCGGCATCAAGTGGTTTGTTTTTGCAGGCACTAAGGTTTCCTCCGTCAGGCTGACATACACACCCTCCGAAGACCGCACAACCTCTATCTACTCCTCCCAACATGGTGTTGATCAACGGCGTTAAGTACGCCTGTGAGCGGTGTATCAGGGGCCACAGAGTCACAACGTGCACACATGTCGACCAGCCAATCATGATGATCAAACCCAAGGGCCGGCCCTCGACGCAGTGTGCGCACTGCCGACAACAACGCAAGCTGAAGAACGCACACGTAGCCTGCACTTGCAACTCGAAAACCAAAGACCACGACGTGGGCTGTGCGTGCCACGTCGACGGCGAGTGCACGTGCTCGTCGAAGCAGAAGAAGGCAGGCTCGAAGAAGAAGGACGAGGACGCCAAAGAACAGAAGTCGAAAATCTCCCCTCCCGAGTCGCTGTCGCTGAATATTGACAAAGATAACGTCAACGGTGTTATTCAGTCATGGGGTATGGCGTCGCCGCCTCTGGGATCCGAATCCCAGCAGAATGACAGCCTACTGTCGCTGAACTCCGCTACCTCAGACAAGCCGTCGCAGGGACTCCAGTACCAGCAGTTCTCGAAACGGCTGGTGGGGACGGACCCGCTCCAGAACTTTCGGTCGTCGACGCCGCATGGCCAGCATAAGAAGGCTGGGGAAATCCATGTTTCTGTTGACGAGTACGTTGCGCCGCTGAACACGATGAACAGCAACTTCTCTACTCTCATGAGCAGTATTTCGACCTCAGAGCCGGTCGTGCCTCCGGCCACTGCTAACGGACGGTCCAAGTCGAACTCAATGACCAGCGAACCGTTCCAGGGCATCAACACGTCCGGATCTGGTCTTTTAGACAGTTTCGACGACAACAACTCTTCCAAGCTGTACCACAACCGCAACAGAAACGTTTCGAGCGGCTCGGTGATTTCAAGTCCGCGAGAATCGATCAACCCTGACTCTCTGTTCCCGCTCTTCCCGCTGATCGGCCCGTCGCAGTCGTACTCGTCACACTCATCTCTTCCCTCCACACCCTCCCACCAGAGTCTCAACGACCTGATTTCAACGCAGCCCACGGGACAGAAACTGTCGCATACCAACCTGAACTCTCATAATAGCAAAAACCACCATAATTATCCGCAGATGCTTAAGAAAAACCTCACGGGCTCGTCCACCCATTCCAGCGGATCGTTGAGCCACTCGCACCACCATGGCGTTCACGGCCACTCTCATCAATCGCACTACTCGCCGTATCCCCAGCACATGATGGCCCAGCAGCCGCGGAGATCCAATTCATTTTTGTCCGTTTCGTCGTCCAACACGGTGAACTCGTCGCTGGGTTCGCCAAACTCGATTCTGACCAACGAAAGACCGCCGTTGGTGAGTGCCAACTCGACAGACTCGCTGAACGGGTTCCAGCTGACGAATGCCAAAACAAATACCACGCTGATGGACGATCTCTACCAGACCAGAACTTACACGGAGTCCGGAATGAAGCCGTTCTCGATAGTCCCGGAGGAGGAAGATTCTGGCTCGACCCCCGCGTCCGAAGTGTCACAGCTGCGCACCGTCAAGCACACTGTGGACCCGGCATTTGACGCAAGTGCAATAGGCACGATCCCGCTGACCACCTCCTCCGATCTGGCGAACGCCACGGACCAACGAACAGAGACCACTGCTGCTCAGACAGACTACTCGAGCTATCTGGGCAACATAGACTACCTAGACAGTCTGCTGGAGCAGTCCGCCGACCAGGCAGACTTATCCAGCTTCATCGACCTTCAGAGTGCCCAGACACAGGAGCAAGCCTAGATAGACTGGTGTGTAATAAACTGGTTTCTTACGCGACATTGTGAGTGTTGCCGTTAATATTCAATCTAATTTATATTTCCAGGACCATTGATGCAATCGTCCCAAAAGCTTGCTTCCAAGCTCGACACCTTGGCGAAAATGTCTGCCAAAGTGTCTAAAAGTTTGCCTTTATCGAACCCGTCCTCGTTCTTCCTCCTGCTGACGTACTCGTCGAAGTACTCGTTGAGGACCTGCTCGCCGCGTTTGCAGGCCTCCACGTACCACGGAGACACGTAGTCGCCGAGCCAGTCGCGGTAGAGTTTTTGTGTCGCCGAGCCTGCGTCCACCCGGTACGACAACCTGCCGCTCTCCGCGTCCTGCTGCAATTTGCGTGCCGTCTGGAGAGTTTGCGCGTTGTTTTCTGGATCTGCCACCAAGAATTTCGTGCCGTTATTCAGCGCATTGGCAGCAGCATGGTTGTAACCAATCAGACACGGCATCAGCGCAGTCTTGCACAGCAGCCAGTCGTGTGTCTTCTCGTACAGCTCGACCAAATAGTTGATATAGTCCAGCGTAGCACGTCCAGCGACGATTTCCTCCAGGTCCAGGTCGGGCCATCTGCTTTTCAGCTTGACTTTGTGTCTCTCCATCTCGTTCTCGATATTGCCCAGAATCTCGTCCACGTACGCCTGCAGCTCCTCCGACTCTGTGATGCTGCGCAAGTTCACGTGCACGCGGTGGTACGCCTGCAGGTAGCGGTAGTCCTGTTTGAGGAAGTAGTTGAATTTTTCCACTGGCAGCGTGTCTTCCATCACCTGCCGCACAAACTGGTGATGAGTGTATCTTTGCCAGTGTGGAGCGACTTTTTCGTGGTTGATGAGGAACGCCAGTAGTCCGGCGTCCTTCCGCACCTCCTGCGGCCGTCCGATCGCCCACATGTGGTTCAACGGCCCGTTGGGCTTCACCTCTGCGTGTCTGATGGCCTCGTTGACAAACCCGATGGCGTTCTCGACCGCGGTCGCCAGAGACGCGCCGCGGGCCAGATTGCACGCGACCGCCGAGCTGAGCGTGCAGCCCGTTCCGTGCAGATTTGGCGAGTCGATGTAGTTCGACCGGAATACGGTGAGTGTTCCTGACCGGTGCTCGTACAGCACGTTCAGAATATACACCGGGTTCTCGGGGTCGACAGCCAGGTCCTTGTTCACCGGGACAAGCCCGCCCTTGAACAGCACGTCTACCTTGAACCGCGACCCGAGCAGGCGCGCAGCCGCGTAAAAATCGTCCGCCGTGGCAAAGGTGATCTGCTCCACGCCAGGGTCCGAGCTGCGCAGCACAGCCAGCAAAACTTCCGCCTCGCGCGAGTTCGGGGTAACGAGGGCCGCATGTTTGAACAGCTCGACCACTTTTTTCAGCGCTGCCACAGAGCTCAGCCGGTCGCCGTTCTTCGCCACAAACACCGGGTCCAGCACAATGGGCGCGCTGGCGGCACGGGCGGCCAGAAACGGCGTTATCACCGACAGCGTCTCGTCCGGCAGCATGCCGAGCTTGATGGCGTCGAGCGCAATCTGGTCGTCGGCAATGGCCACCAGCACCTTCTCCACGGTCTCTGCGGGGGTCACCGCGACACTGTGCACGCCGAACGAGTTCTGGGCCGTGAGGGCCGTGATACAGGTGACGGCATAGCACTTGTGCGCCGTGATGGTCTTGACATCGGCCTCGATCCCTGCGCCGCCCGACGAGTCAGAGCCGGCAACGGTGAGGACCCGCGGAACGTGCGCGGGGGCCGTTTCGCCGCTCAATTGGTCGCACAGGTCAACAAGAAGTGCCATAACCTTGTTAAAAAAAAATCACTGGTCTCCATTTTTATACACAATGCACTGCCCGGTTGCAGATTTTCCGTCTACAGATTGGAGCCTATTTTGCTGTACGCCTCCGCAAAGCCGTCGACCAGCGCGGCGAGCCCGATGGCGCCGGGGTCGGGCAGCCCGCCCTCGGCCTCAAACGGCTTGAACTCGTCCTCGCTCACGTACGACGCACGGCCAAACTTGGCCTTGAGCTTTCTGGTCGACTCCGCTCCCTCGTGGCACGCCTTGTTGGCCCGGTTGAGGTCGCCCTTGGTGGCGGCAAACTGCTCCACAAACGGCGCCAGCGCGTCGATCAGCGTCCGGTCGCCAGCACGAGCCCGTGTGTACCGGTACAGCGAGTCCAGGGCATCCTTGAGCGACGCGGCCAAGATTTCGGGCGTCACGTCGTAGCCGCCCTGCTGGAGCTCTCTGTCCTTGAGCGACTTGGCCAGCGCGGAGATGAATATCGAGTACAGCCCGCCAGACGTGCCTCCCATGGCCGTCTCGACGACGTCTGTGATCTGGGTCAGGCTCCGGACTGCGTCTGCGACCTCCAGCTCATCGGCAGCCAGCAAGTCGAGGATCGCGTGCGCGCCGTTCGCCAGCGTCTCGCCGCAGTCGCCGTCGCCGGCGACCGTGTCGTACAGCGTGATCTTCGGCTCCTTGGTCAGCAGCTTCTTGCACCCGCTCTCGAGCACAGCCTTGGCCGTGCTGCCCGAGAAGCGCACTTTCGACGCGGCCGACGCGTCGCTCGCCTGTGGAGCGTCGATGACGAACGACTCCGATTTGGCCGCCCATTCTGCCGTCGTGTACGACGAGTTCCACCCAGGCACCTTTGTGGGGTAGTCCAGGCACTCGAAAACCTCCTTGCCGCCCGCCTTGGTCGCGTTCAGCAGCGTGATCGAGAAGCCGGGACCGTCCAGCGACGTCGTGTACGCACCAGTGTACACTCTTGCCGGCCTGATCTTGTAGCCGCTGGCCAGCTGCTCAACGACGGTGTTCTGGATAGCGTACAGCTCGAGGTTCGACGTGCCGCCCAGATTGTTGATCATCAGCACCACCTCGTCCGAAGCGTCGAAGTCCACGTAGTTCCGCTCCTTGTCGCTCTTGTCGAGCAGGTACTTGAGCAGGTCCGCCACGAGGGAGTCGATCGTCGGGATCGGCGAGACGCGCTTGATGCCCGCCTCGTTGTGGATCCCCATGCCCACCTCGATCTCGTCCTCCCCGAGCAGGTGCTTCTGCTCGTCCTCGTCGTCGGACCCGGACTCGTGGTGCCTGCTACCCGGAATCGTGCAGTGGTCGAGCGACGCGCCGATCGTCACCAGGTTGGCCACCACGGCCTCGCCCAGCCGGTACACCTCGCTCAACGAGGCTCTGTTCGAGTCTCTGGCGGCCTTGGCGCCGATAATCTTGTGCACAAGGGCCGTTCCGGCCAGACCGCGCCGGCCCACCATGCCGTTCTTGGTCCTGCCGACAGAAACGTCGTCCTGGACAATCAGCAGCTCCACGGGGACGCCCTCGGCCTTGGCCCGCTCGGCAGCGAGCCCAAAGTGCAGAATGTCGCCGGTGTAGTTTTTCACCACAATAAGCGTGCCTTTATGTGAGGGCTTTGCCTTCAGACCCGAGAGAATCTGCTTTGTCGAAGGCGAGGCGAAAACGAAACCAGCAACCCCAACGTCCAGACAGCCCTCGCCCACAAAGCCGGCGTGCAATGGCTCGTGGCCAGAGCCCCCGCCCGACAGGATCATCACCTTATCGGGCTTGGAGTACTTGTTTATCACCACCCGCTCGGACTCGATGAATTGCAGGTCCGGGTTGCCGTGACACAGGCCCTTGAGATGCGCATGGACCAGGTCGTGCTTGTAGTTCCAGTGCTTGCTCGACATGCTAAAGAAAAGAAGGGTGAGAAATGCTGGGTCGGGCTCATTTTTTTATTGCGTGCCCGGGGTGGCCAGGGCCGGCTAAGCTTCTCGTAGCGGGGAAAATAGCCCCATAGTCTATGCGAAAACACACCCGGGGAAATAACCGCAGCGCGGGCAAGCGTGCGACACACAGAAACGGGGGGTCGGCGATCACGTGGCCGGGCGTCACGCGACCCCGCAGCCTGCGCGCCCCCGACAAAAATCAAAAACAGACAGCCTCGCCGCATGGCCCTCCGCAGTATCGCGTTCAACCAGGACTACACGTGTCTCGCGGCCGGCTTCGACGCGGCCTACAAGGTGTACAACTGCGACCCGTTCGGCGAGTGTTTCCAGAAGACGGACGACGGCGGCGCCAACTTGGTCGAGATGCTGTTTTCCACGTCTCTGATCGCCGTTGTGGGGGTCGGCGACAAGCCGGCCAACACAATGCGCAAGCTGAAGATCATCAACACCAAGCGCAAGGCTGTGATCTGCGAGCTCACGTTTCCGACGGCGATCCTGTACGTCAAGATGAACCGCAAGCGGCTGGTCGTGGTGCTCGTGGACCAGATCTTTGTGTACGACGTGTCGTGCATGAAGCTGTTGCACAGCATTGAGGCGAGCGCGGGGTCGAGCGGCCGGGTTATCTGCGACCTGTGTGCGGACGACGAGAGCGTGCTTGTGTTCCAGCAGTCGGGGACTTCCGACGAACTGGCCGCCAACGCGGGCACGGTGGTGGTGTTTGACGCGCTGCAGATCCAGCCGACCAACGTGATTGAGTGCCACAAGTCGCCGCTGCAGCGGATCGCGGTGTCGAAGGACGGCCGGCTGCTGGCGACGGCCAGCGTCAAGGGCACGATAGTGCGGGTGTTCCGCGTGGCAGACGGCAGGAAGGTGCACGAGTTCCGGCGCGGGAGCTACACGGCGCAGATCTCGTGTCTGAGCTTCAACGCCGACGCCACGGTGCTGTGCTGCTCGTCCAACACCGGCACCGTCCACTTCTTCCGGCTCGACGGCGTCGACCGGCGCGAGTCGACGGGGTCGATCGACACCGACGTCGACGCCCCCGACGCGCTGCCGCGCGAAAGCAGCATCACCGAGGAGGAGTCGAGCGAGATCAACCGGCTCATCAACAGCCAGCTGGGCGGCCACAACGGGTTTGCGAAGAAGAAGAGCGCCGAGTCGCTCAAGAACTTCATCTGGTCGAAGTCCAGGACGTACCTGCCGTCGCAGATCAACTCGATTCTGGAGCCGAAAAGAGACTACGCGTTCATCAAGCTCAGCAGCGAGGTGGAGAGCGAGGTGGGGCTTGTCGACAACAACTGCTACGTCGCGACGCGGACGGGCGATTTTTTCGTCTACTCTGTGCAGCCCGGCCAGTGCGTGCTCCTCAAGCACTATAAAATAGAGTAAGACATTTCTGAAACATCACCATTTTTTCTCATGGCCACTGCTCAGAACAGGTCCACCGAGCCCACGCCGTACCTGTGTCTCAAGTCGCGCTGGCTGCTTGCTGTTTGGAACGAGTGGACGCTTTTCGGGGGGCTGGTGTTGACCATCGTGCTGCTGGACGGCCGCTCGGCGTCGTCGAGTTCCGGGTCGTCTAGCTCGCCGCTGAACACGGCTCTTTCGGTTGCTTCCAACACAGACGTGCACAACGTCCAGTCCGTGCTGTTGGACGGTTTGGAGACCGTCGTGGCCAACGATCTGACGGCCCAAGCCGCGTACCTCAACTCCACGCTCAACGACACAATCACCACGGCGTACGCGGCGGTCGCCGCCATTGACCTGCGCCCGATTCTGCAGCAGCTCGCCGACTCGATCAACCGCACCGTCACGACGTCGCTCGCGTCGCAAAACAGCGCGCTCGGGGCGCTCAAGTCTAGTCTCGATTCCCAGGCAGTGTATGTTGGAAGTTCAGTGAGCTTGGACAAAATGAGTATAAATTATACATGGGTCGGCAGCTATCTGGAGAACGAAATACAGAACCGCACGGTAACCAACGCGTACGAGAAATACTTCGAGAACCTCCGCGATTACTTTGCTTTTTTCGACTCTCTCACAAACGAGACGCTCCACAACGTTTCTGCTGTCTTTGACCTGATGGACCTGTCCGGCCCTGATATCTACAACTACTCCATTTCGAACGGGTCAGCGCTGCACCTGGCGTACTCGAGCTCGGCAGCCTCAAGAGATAATAAAGCGGTGTACGTTCTCGCTGCGTTGATGATTATTTTCGTGGTAGCACAGATGCTGCTTGACTGGCTACGCTTTGCACATGAGCAGAAACAGGCGGCGTGTTTTCCGTTCGAGGCCACGGAAAAGACGGACTTCTTAGAGTACACCTTCCGAACCGTCGATTTCGAGGCGTTCAAGCTCGCAGAGGTGCTTGTGCCGTTTCTGGGGGATAGCATCAGGCTGAATTTTCTTGCGTCCTTCTGGCTTGGAATGCGGTCGAACGCGAAGAATCTGCTAAAATACATAATTTTCTCACTGCTTCTGTATTCCTGTTGGACACAGAAGACTTCCTCTTCAGTGGGCGTTACCCTGAGCGGGGACACGCGTCTACACAACACGACGCACACGCTGAAAACCGATTTTGGAGCTGGGTCGCAAGCGCTTCTGGACGATATCCGAGGAATCTACGAAGACTTCGGGGCCCACGTGCGACAGTTCCTCGAAGAAGAAGGCCTGGCGCCGTTTGTGGCGTACGACGGGCCGAACTCCTCGTTTTTGGCCGACCTTAGCTGGCCCAACGATATGGCAACAGAGCTGACTGTCGCTGTGAATAGCACGGTTTCGCCGGGCAAACTCCACCTCACCCAGTCGGCCGTCCGCAGCACCCGCTCCCTGCTGTACTACGCGTTTGCGCTCTGCGTGGCGGCCACGCTCACGATGGTGGCCGTCAGCGTCTACACGCTCCGGCAGCCGGGGTTACCCGCACGTAGTTTTCGTTAAATTTTTTTGAAAATTTAATCAAGAGCGTTGATCTTAAGAAGCACCGAGGAGCCGACATCGCTGCTGAATTCAGGACACAACGGGCGTTGTAGATTTTGGTACACTGAGATGTCGCATAGGAAGTTACAACAGTAAGTGTGGACGGCAGCCGGGCCTGGCGACTCCGGGCCTGCAAACAGGGAAAAAGGGGCCAGGGGTCGCTTGGAACCCGCGACTCGACACGGTTTACTAACGGGCCAGGGAAATTGATCGCGTGTTCAAGAAGATCGGGGAGGGGCTGGAGATATTCAACACGCTGTACGAGCGGCACGAGAATGCCTCGAACGGCTCTCAGAAGGAGAAGCTGGAGAACGACCTCAAGAAGGAGATTAAGAAGCTGCAGCGGTTTCGCGAGCAGGTGAAGAACTGGCAGGCCACCAACGAGGTGAAGGACAAGGAGCGGCTCAACGAGAACCGTCGGCTGGTCGAGCAGGCGATGGAGAAGTACAAGGTGGTAGAGAAGGGGTCGAAGACGAAAGCGTTTTCCGACGAGTCGCTGGCGAGCTTTGACGACCCACAGGAGGACAACGAGGCGATCGAGTTTGTGCGGGAGACGCTGGACGAGATCCAGCGCCAGGAGGAGGCTCTGGAGAGCGAGCTGGACAAGCTGGGCGCCAAGAAGGGCAAGAAGACCAGTGCTGTGGACGAGCGCAAGTCGGAGATCGAAGATCTGCTGGAGATCCACCAGTTCCACAGAGAAAAGCTGGAGGTGGTATTGCGATTGCTTGAGAGCCACGTGCTGCGGCCCGAGGACATAATGAACATCCAAGAGGACATCAAGTACTATCTGGAAGAGAACCAGGATCCGGACTTTGTGAACGACGACACCATCTACGACGATCTGAACCTGGACGTCGACGAGAACACGCTTCACGATGGCAGCTCTGCGCAGAACGGCACGCACAAGGAGGAGGAGTCTGTTCTCGCGTCGACGGCGCCGATCTCCGTGTCTGTGCCGGACTCCACGCTTCAGAAGAAGAAGGAGAGCACGCCGACACCGTCCACCGTCCAGCCCTCGCCTGTGGCGACCGCCAAGCCACCGGCCCCCGTGAAGCCTGCGCAGACGCCGCCGGTGAGCGTTCCCAAGATCGCGACGCCGACGACGTCGCTGGCCAATCTGGCCGGCAGCCTGTCGTCCATGAGCACGCTGAAGCCTGCGCCGGTGCCCGCAAAGCCTGTGGGAGAGCTCAAGTGGGCGGCCGCAGTGAGCCAGACGGCCAATGGGCGGCCAAAACCGGATGAGAAGCCGGCCACGCCGGCCACGCCGCTCTCGACGCTCAACACCAACGCGCTGAACGCCGCCAGTGTGCTGGAGGCGCTGAAAAAACAGCGGCCGCAGGACAGAGCGTCGCACAGCAACTCAGAGTCCCGCACGGCGTCCGGCACGGCGGGCGCTGGGTCTGCTGCGCCCGGCGACGTTGCGAACGACCCAAACTTCCGGTTTCTGCCTCCAGGCATCCAGAGCACGATCCTGTCGTTTGTGATGGCCAGAAACCGGCCAGAGTCCGAGAAGACTCCGTCGCTGTCGAGCGTCGGCGCCATGCTTGCCGTTCCCCGTCGCTTCTCGCCGCTCAGCGAGGGAACGTATCCGCCGGGACTGGAAGCGCAACGGGTTTCTGCGATCTGGAACAGCGTGCGGATGAGCAACAACATCGAGATCGACTCGCAGAACGTCGACACCGCCACGCTGTTCTATGCCTACTACTACGCCCTGTCGCAGAGAGAAAGAGACGTCGCCGCGTCGGTGCTAGCCTCCAGGCTCTGGAGAGTCAACAACGACAAGACCATGTGGTACCAGCGCCATTCGCAGGTGAAAGTGTCGGGCGACGGCTTTGAGATCTCCGACTTCAACATCTTCGACGCGGAAAAATGGAGCTTCTACGAAAAGAAGAACCACAGAGTCGACTACTCCCAGTTTGGAAAATCCTAGCTGCGTATATACTGAATATTGAGGTAGTAACTACTCGCTAAAATCCTCGCCGCTCTCTGACTCGCTTTCTGCTTCGCCCGAGATCTTCACCTTTTTCTTCCGCTGGATATTCTCCTCCTGCTCCTTGCGTCTTCTCTCCTTTTCCTTGCGGCGCACAGCGTGGATCTGCTCCAGCTTGTTGATCTCCTTCACACTCTTCTTGATCCGCGAATGGTACAGCACCTTGCCGTCACAGACGCCCTCCTCGATCTTCACGAGCTCGAGCTTCATTCGCGGACCGATCTCCGTCAGTTTCACCGCCTTCTTGCGCTTGCCCCCTTCCTCGGCAGCACCCTTAGTTTTCACGGCAACCTCCTCCTTCACCTCCACCACAGCGTCCTCCTCCACCTCCGAATCAGAGGTGAATCCGGCCTGGGCGTACGGGTCCAGAATGATGTCCGCGACGTCGTCGACTTTCGACAAGTTGGGCAGTTTTTTATTCGTTTTCTTGTGCACCTTGACCAGTTTTTTCACGTTCTTCGAGACATCCACCAGCTTCGTGTCGATGACGTAATGACGAAGGTCGATCAGCCCGGTCTGCTTGTCCTTTTGCAACAGCAAAACTCTCTTGATGGTGCTGACCTTGGTGTTCTGTGGGGAGATAGGCGGGAACATGTTCTGAAACATGGTGACCATCAACTTTTCATGCTGCTCTGCTTCTTTCGGGTTAGTGAAGCCGCTCATCACAAGCAACGGAGGGTTCAGGAACTCCGGTCCGGACTTGCTCACGCTCTTGGGCATCTTCTGATAGCGGGCGACGTCTTTGCAAAGCGAATACTCGTGGATCTTGAAGTTGATGGTGGGACCCCTGGGCATTGCTGAGAATCGAAGCTGGGTGGACCCCGTCTCCTCGTTCTGGCTGAAAATCAGCAATTGCGAGATCCCAAGCGGCCCTGCCATCACAACAAAGTCCTTGAGCTTGTTGCGGTTGCGCTCGCGAAGATTGATCGCCGTGTGAGGAAGCATCATGATCCTGGTGTCTCTAACTAGTTGTGTAAGGGTGTGGTTGTGTAAAGCTGTTCCCAGATGGATCACCATCGAGCGGGGGATCTTGGCCAGCTCTTCCTCGCTCAGCTTGACATGGGTTCTCTTTTTTTGCTGGGTTGTTAGCAATTTGGGGTGGTTATACTTACTCTTCTTTTGGCCATGGTGAAAAGATCGGTCTAAATAAATTTTTAAAATATTTTTGAATTATTTTATGGAATATTTTTAACAAAGAAAAATTAATTTAATCAATTTATCTAATGTCTCCTACAAAGATATCTCGCCCTGGAAACGTGGCCCCTAAAAAGGCCGTGTCTGCCAAGATCGACATTGACTTGCTGAAAAAGAAGCTCACGGCTAGCCAGAAGCAGGAACAGTCAGACGAAACGCAAACAGAGAAACAAGAAGACAAACAAAAAGAACAAGAACAGTCTGAACAGGACGAGTCCACCAAGCAGGTGACATCGTTCAAAGAACTCGGCCTGCAGCCTGACATTCTCGACGCCATTGAAAAGCTCAACTTTTCCACACCAACGCCTATCCAAGCCCAATCCCTACCCCACAGTTTGCAAGGCCGCGACATTATCGGTATTGCCCAGACCGGATCCGGTAAAACTGCCGCTTTTGCTATTCCCATCCTCCAGGCTTTGTGGGAAGCGCAGACTCCGTACTTTGCCTGTGTACTGGCTCCGACCAGAGAGCTGGCATATCAAATCCGTGAGACGTTTGATGCTTTGGGAGTAAACATGGGACTCCGGTGTTCTACTATTGTTGGAGGCATGGATATGATGGAACAAGCCAAGGAGCTGATGCGGAAGCCGCACGTGATTGTGGCCACTCCAGGACGTCTGATGGACCATCTGGAGAACACTAAGGGTTTCTCTTTGAAGGCCTTGAAGTACCTTGTGATGGACGAGGCCGATAGACTACTCGATATGGAATTTGGGCCTGTGCTAGACAGAATTCTCAACATCATCCCGCGCGACAGGAAAACATACCTATTTTCGGCCACACTGACCTCAAAAGTCGAGAAGTTGCAACGTGCTTCGCTCGTAGACCCTGTCAAGATCGCCGTCAATGACAAGTATTCCACAGTCGACACGCTGATCCAGACTCTCATGGTGGTTCCCGACGGATACAAAAACACTTACCTAATTTACCTTTTGAACGAGTACGTGGGTAAGTCGGTCATAGTCTTTGCCAGAACGTGTGCCCATGCGCAGAAGGTTGCTCTTCTGGCCCGAATCCTTGGCTTTTCGGCCATCCCGCTACATGGACAGCTCACGCAGGCCCAGAGATTAGGTGCTCTCAACAAGTTCAAGTCTGGAGATAAACAGATTTTGGTGGCCACTGACGTGGCTGCCAGAGGACTGGACATCCCATCTGTCGACCTTGTGGTGAACTACGATATTCCAACCGACTCCAAGGCGTACATCCACCGTGTCGGAAGAACTGCTCGTGCGGGAAGATCCGGTAAATCTGTTTCCCTGGTGACGCAGTACGACTTGGAGCTTATTCTCAGGATTGAGAAAGTCATCGACATGAAGCTTCCGAAGGAGGTGCCCAATAAAAACGAGATTCTGGCCTTGCACGATTCTGTCGACAGAGCCACCGCCCAGGCTGTGTCCAAGGTCAAGGAGTTCCACTCCAAGCGCAAATTTAAAAAGAAGGACTGATGTAGGATAATAATTTAATAGGATTTTTATCAGCATTGAAGCCAGAAAATACGGCAATGAAAATAAATTCTTCAACTATTTTATGTCGCTACCTCCTTCTCTTGACGACCTGATCAAATCTCAGCCGGCCAATGGCAAGACGCGATTTCTGAGTAAGGCTCAACGGGAGAAGCGCAAGCATGAGCAGGTAGTCAAACCCCCCGCTGCTGTTGTGAAGCCGAAATCTCTTAAAAAAAGGGCACCAGATCCAAGTTTGGCGAACTCCTCGAGCGAAGGCAACGGAGACATGAACGACGCTTATTTTGTTCCGATAGTGGAACTGCCGCGACGTCGTCAGGATCTCGAGTTTGACGACGTTCACTGGTCGGAAAAAGATCTCTCCAAAATGACCGACAGAGACTGGAGAATAATGCGGGAAGACTTCAACATCAGCACTAAAGGCGGAAAACTGGAGAGTCCCTTGCGTAAGTGGGAGGAAAGCCAGATCTCGCCGCTCATTATCCAGCAACTAGAAGCTCTAGGATACAAAGAGCCAACGCCGATTCAAAGGGCAGCTGTTCCGAACGGACTGACGGGCAGAGATCTGGTGGGTATTGCCGAGACCGGTTCGGGAAAGACGTTGGCATTTCTGGTCCCCTGTGTGAACTATATTCTGCAGATGCCTCGGCTCGGCAGATTTGAGGGCCCTTACGTGCTAATTTTGGTTCCAACGAGAGAATTGGCGTTGCAGATTGAGCGAGAGTTCTCCAAGTTTGCGTCTCTCGGGTTTGACGCGATCTCGCTGATTGGAGGACACTCGTACGACGAGCATGCCGCAAAGCTGGAGCGTGGCGTGGAGGTGATCATAGCCACTCCCGGTCGGCTCGTGGACTGTCTGGAGCAGCAGTTAGTCTCTCTAGATCGGTGCTTTTTCTTGGTGATGGACGAAGCTGACCGGATGATCGACATGGGGTTTGAGAACGATCTAAACAAAATCCTGGACAGCCTACCGGATGGGTCTGAGAATCCGCACTACGCGGGTCCCGGAGAGCCCAAAAGAACCACCATGATGTTTACGGCGACCATGCCGCCGCAGATCGAGAAAATAAGCGCAAAGTATCTGAAAAATCCAGGAACTGTTATGGTCGGCGAGGTCGGCGGTGCGGTCGACAGCGTGCGCCAAGAAGCCATCCAGGTTGATGACACGGAGGAGAAACGCTTGCAAGTACTGCAGAAGGTGCTCACGCGCGGCATCTACCTGCCTCCAATCATAGTTTTCGTGAATTTCAGGAAAACATGCGAAATGGTGGCAGAATTTTTGGAGCAGCTGGGATTCAACGCCGTGACGATGCACGGCTCGAAAACGCAGGAACAGCGCGAATATGCCATCCAGCAGATAAAGGAGGGCAGGGCGGATATTCTGGTGGCTACGGATGTGGCGGGACGAGGAATTGACATTCCGGACGTGTCGCTCGTGGTTAACTTCCAAATGGCGAAAAATATCGAGGATTACACACATAGAATCGGACGCACGGGACGGGCTGGAAAAGAGGGTACGGCAATCACGTTCTGGAGCGCTGCGGACGCGGATGTGCTGTACCATCTCAAACAGATGATCACCAAAAGCCCTGTCAGCAGGTGTCCGGACGACCTGAAAAGACACCCTGCTGCGCAGAAAAAGGTGGTGAGAAACATTGAAGTCTGATGGCTATTCGCTATCGCTGACATATCCAAGCTTCGTAGCGAGCGTTGGTTTCTTCTGTACCAATTTAATAGCATCTAATGACTTGTTCGCAAAAATGGACGATGGCTGCGCAGCAGGAAGAGCTTTGGGAGCTTTCTCGGCATCCTCTCGTGACTCGTCCCCGTCCATCGCTTCCTGCTCCTGTTCTTTCTCTTCCACACGTCTCAGCTTCTCCTGCATCGTTACCAAAAGTTTTTTCGCGGTCTCCAACGCAGTCTGCTCTTCCTCCTCGCGGTTTCTTTTCTTGGCCACCGGGTCAGGATCCTCGTTAGCCCATTTGACGTTGAGTGCCTCCTCGTCATCGTCTTCCCGAAGAGACTGTCCGTACATTGCCTCTTTAGCGAACTGCGCTTGGCTTTCCAATCTGTAGGTGACAAACGCTATGCCTTTGCTTCTCACCACCCTGGTGCGCTCAACCTCTCCATACTCTCCGAAATTCTTATTGACAAGCATCTCCACGTTTGCTTCCATCGATCTGAACTTCTCCACAAACAGCGTCTTGTTGACCTTGTTAAAAGAACCCACTCCCGTCATATCGTCTCTGTAGTCTGCGAATCGTTCTCGCCCAAAACAGTCCACCGTATGAGGAAAGAAGTCCATGTCTGTCGGCAGACGGTGTAGATAGTCACAGTTTTTTCCGTTCGTGCAGTATCCGCGAGCAAAATACAGACAGATGAACTTGTCGCGGTTCACTGATCCCAGCTCCACGTGCTTGTCTGCCTTTGTGTAGCCTGCGTCTTTAGCAGGATGGCATCTATGTCGTGCGTGCGCAACGGTTCTGCCATTATATTCGCCGCCTGTCCATCGGCTATACCACAGATTAAATACCTGGCCCGTTTGCGGCGGCTTCGTTTCTGCATTGATGGATTCAGGGTTCACCTGGAGTCTAGCAGGACGACGAGCCATGAAAAATAATAAAATAAAATAAAATAAATAATATAAAATAATCTGTATTTATTTCATGCCCGAGGACTCCCCGTTCAATTCCAACACATTCGGGAACACACTCTCGCTTCGTGTGGACGGGAACTTTCTCTCGACCATGTCGATTGCCCCCAGCGGGCGCGACGTCGTTTTGGCTGGAAGAAAAGGTCTTTTCGTCATCGACCTCGACGACCCCTTTGCCGCTCCTCGCTGGCTCCACCACCAAACGTCCTGGGAGGTGGCCGACGTGCAATGGTCGCCTCACAAGAGCAAACCGTCGTGGGTGGTATCCACCTCCAACCAAAAGGCCATGGTCTGGAACCTGGCCAGACCATCTCACAACGCTATAGAGCATGTCCTTCATTCCCATACAAGAGCCATTACTGATATTAACTTCCACCCCAACCACCCAGAGCTGCTCGCTACGTGCTCTGTGGACACCATGGTGCTGTCGTGGGACATGAGGAGCCCGCAAAAGCCAATAAACAGCTGGTCTGACTGGCGTGCTGCTGCTTCGCAGGTCAAGTGGAACCACATGAACTCCAACGTTTTGGCGTCCACACACGATAACAATATTCTCATCTGGGACATTCGAAAGGGGGCCATTCCACTGGTGAAAATACAAGCCCACAACGCGCGCATCAACGGGATTGACTGGAGCAAGACCGAGGTCGATAAGATTATTTCGTGCTCCAACGATATGAGTGTCAAGTTCTGGGACCAGAACAAGCCGGACAAAGCCGTATACACGATCAGAACAGACTTTCCGGTGAGCAGAGCGCGCCACGCGCCGATTGGCGACCACATCTGCGGCATCATGCCGTCCCGTGGCGGACAGAACTCCATATACATTGTGAAATTCAAAGACGAGACAGGAGAGAGCAAATTGAAGCCAAGCTACATTTTCAAGGGCCACACAGAGCCGGTCAAAGATTTTCTTTGGAGAAGCAGACATTCGCCGAACACCGACGTGGATGACCGCGAGTTCCAGTTGGTGACGTGGTCTGCAGACTGCGATCTTCGTCTGTGGCCTATCCAGGAGGACATCTACGACAATTTCAACTACAAAAGAAACCAGCCGTTGGCTAACCCGTTGCCAGACTACAGCTACGAGACCTATCGTCGCGAGCCGCCAGTTGCTTCCGAAAATAACCTGATCATCAGACGACGGAGAAACACGAACCTCATTTCCAGCAGAAACAGCTTTACTCTGCAGAACGACCAGTTCAACCACCTTAACTGGATTTCTGGTATTCGGATTGGCCAGTCGGCTATACAGCAGATGGACGTCCATGTTGGAGACAGCACACAGCCGGCCAATTTGGCAGAAGAGGTCGGAAACGTGGGCCACAAGTTTCCTAAAGTGAGATTCGAGCGGATCAGCGTGTCGACGGGCAACTTGGTGATATCTTTGAATGGCCCCTGGAATGACGAATTGATATTCATTCGCGTGGAAATCAGTTTCTCCAAGGACTATCCCTCGCCCACGGGAGTTCCAAAGTTCTCGATCGAGGAGACACACGAGCTCACCGATGAGGACCGCAAGGAGATGCTGGCGCGTCTGGACGAGATTGCCAGCAAATACTGCTCGCTGCGAAAATTCTGTCTCGAGCCCTGCCTGCGGTTTTTACTTGGCGAGAAAGTGAATCTGGACATCGAGCAGGAGGAGGACGATCTGACGCTCGATCCGTTTTCTATTCCGTACGAAGACGCCAACGCATCCGACAACAGCATTGAGGTTTCTTCCATCTCTGACAGAGACACAGGCAGTGAATCTGAGGACGAGACCGCGGCAATCGTCGACGTCAACAAGCCAACTTTTGATAGCACGCCGGTGCCCAAGGGTTGCGGGGCCATTTGGACGGCCAGCGGCCATCTTGTGTGCTTTTTCATCCCCAAAGAGGACAAAAAGGCTCCGCAGCAGGTGTTCAAGTTTGGACAGCAGGGATTTAGCCTGGCGAACGGGCTGAAAAGCAAAAAAATCGAGCACGGGATGGAGCTTCCCACCTCTGCCAACGCAGATTCGGAGGACGACGTTTCTAGTCTGAGCTCGGAGGCCAGCTTTTCCAACGACCTCGATATACTACAGTACGACAGGCTGTACAAAACTAAGCTTCCATTAGAGAACGTGGCAAGCAACCCCGGCACGCACACCTCGAAGTCGAAACAGAGCCGCAACATTGTGAAAATCCACGATTTCCGCCACTTGATACCTGCCAAAATGGAGCTGGCCTTCGAATACAGAGTTCTGGGCGACACTCCTGAGAATCTGGCCAAGTGCAACGCGTTGGTTGCAGAAAAGTACGGCTTCAAGAATCTGGCCGACTGCTGGAGAATCCTGTCCATCATCCTGGTCAAGGAGGTCCAATTCGAGGACAAGCTCGATCTCGCTGTCCACGCGGGGTTCGTGTCCAAGGACGAGCCTACAGACAGCTATAAATTCTACTGGGGAGCACATCCATTTGGAGGCAGATGGCTTGCAAAAATGATCATGAAATACTACGAGCGGCGGAGCGACGTGCAGATGCTGGCAATGCTGTCCTGTGTGCTTTATGAGCATTTCGAAAATAAGGACCGGCCGGGCGTCCCAATAAACACTCCTTACTCGCTAAATTCCGTCATCCCTGAGAAAACCTTGGTCCGACAGAGCTCCAAGCAGGGACAGGTGGTCTCCTTTGATACCAGGAGCCCTGTGGGCTCGTATTACCATCTTCTCTCGCGGAACCGACTTTCCTCGGTGAGCACGACCTCTATTTCCGAGAGTCTTGTCGGGTCTCCTGGAGAGCTACATGTCTCTAACCGGCGCGGAATCCGTCCTCAAAGCATCGCGCTAGGCCACAGCACGCCAGGCGACTCTTACTCGCTGCATCTGGGCCGCTCGCCGGGCGCCATGTCGCCGTCCTCGCTGTCCTCTACTGGCAACGTCTTCAGCCAGGCGTTCCTGAAGTCGCTGAACAACACGGCGCCGCCACCACCGGCCTCCCAGACAACAGTCCCCAAGGTCAGCATCCAGATGATCAACACCGACTCGTTGGACCTCTACGAGGACGCGTACTCGATGTCCCTGCTGGACGACCTCGATACAGAGCGGCTTCAGATGTACAGAGCAGAGTACGCCAATCTGTTGTTCTGCTGGGGTCTTCCCGTCTCGAGAGCAAAAATCCTCAAATTCAACCACCGCGGCTCGGAGATGCCGTCAAGCTCAGAGCACCGCGGCGAGGTCGGCTGGCTCAAGCCGGTGGGAAAGAGCGTGTGGGACAGTGTTCGAACGCAGCGGAAATGCCACTACTGCCACCTGCTGAGCCGAAAAAGGCTCGTCGTTTGCACGGTTTGCAACCATCTGCTGCACGCGGCGTGCGCGCTCCTGTGGTGGGAGCAGGAGAAGATGGAGGAATGCTGCAGCGGGTGCGGTTGCAGGTGTCTGAAGCACCGGCTTCGCGAAGTCGAAGCGTAAAGTAGTGTACCGCCAAACAGTCTAGAATAAATTTACATCTTAAACAGATAAGCAGGCAACTTATCACCCAACAGCAGCAACCCAATCACACAATAATCCCGCTACTCTACCACCATGACTAGCCGGTCGCATCACGATGTACGGCGGCAGCTCTTTCGCGGCATCACCATGAGGATCTCGTCGCACAACCACGGCGGAGCCAAGGATGAAGACAAGGAACAAGTAGCGACCCAGCAACGGAGCCAGCCACAGAGCACAGACCCCGGTAGGCGCAGAGTGCTGAGACGGAGCAGTGTCATCACGCCGACGCTGGCGACTAAGACGAGCGTAATGCCGCTGACGCCAAGCAACACCTATTCCTCCACGAGTCTGGTGTCCGGCTCGACTGACATCAACAGCACCGACGTCAGCGACAAGGTTACCCTGCGGCAGAAGAGCGAGGCTGACATGGACCAGTACGACTACAAAACGTTCAGCACAAAACATCCTCTCCGTCTGTCGAAGATACGCGCTTTTGAGCAGGCGGAGATGGCGCACAAAATGTATTTCGCCAAGGACGACGAGTTGGAGCGCAAGAAGACTG